CGATAAAGATATGATCGAATGCGCATAACAACACTAAAATCTTAAAGTAATAAATGGCTAATCAAATAATGATAATAATAATAATAATAATTTACAATTTTCGGAAAAGGCGGATAGATAGGCGGATTAAATCGATTAATATCGATGATATCGATTGATTTCCAATAACAATTTTTATTGATTAACTACGTCACACACACACACACACTATACTCTATTTTCATACACATCATTTTGCCATCTGAACAGTAGACACTGTTTTGCCTTCCGCTCATAGCCAGCGTTACTGCGTATATTACATAGTGTTAACTCCCAGGAGGATATTTTAGGGTATATAAGCGGCCACGCGGTATTAGACACTATCGAGATAGAGCAGAAATGTACCAGGGTTTTTTGTCCCTCTCCCTCGAAGTATTCAGCGTTTCAGAAGTGTGTAATCAGAAAATTATAGTATACAGAATAAACCTGATGTAAGTGCAAAAACTGGTACGTGATTCTCTCCCAAGTGGATTCGAAACACCGTCCAAATCAGACATTCTTAGCAATACAGATTTGGTAGCGTCAAGGCATATTTTAATAAGCTTTTTCCCTTTAAAAAAAGGGAAAAAGTCTCACTTCCGGTTGACGTGCGTTGTTCAAAAACGTCCTTTACCGAAAATTTACCACGGTAGTTGGAACAGTTCAGCCCGCCAAATACCATTTTGGTTGTTTGCAACAACAGCAACGCGAACTGAACGATGAAACATCTAGCCTAAGATCTATACTCTCCTCTTGTCTTTGAAACTATTTCAATGACTCTTCAGAAATCATGACTTATGAATCAGGCCAATGAACTGTGGAAAAGTGCTGAAGAGCAATCAGTCGAGCCAATATTTAGCCTTTCGCCAATAGGATCCACCTCAAGCACAGGTAACCCAGGCTAACTGTTTGTTTCACGTACGGGTTTCATAACATGAGTAAATATAGAGAACATATGGGGCGAAGTTTAGGTCTGGAAATTTGCTAGAAAATGAAAATAAAAACCGATGAAACTTACCTTGTGGCGAGTTGTTGTTGTCCTTAATGAGTAGTATACTATGTAGGAAAGATGAGCAGATTATTTTTCTCGAAACTTCGTCTGCATATTAAAGACAACAACCACTCACCACATGGTATTATAAAGTTTCGTCGACTTTTATTTCCATTTTCTAGCAAATTTCCAGACCTAAACTTCGGCCGATATCTTCTCTATGTTTACTCATGTTCTGAAACTCGTAAGTGACACAAACAGTGAACCTGGGTTACCTGTGCCTCAAGCAGAAAGTTTATAGTATTGGGGTCAGTTGCCATGTACGAAAAAGGGGTATGTACTGACAGAAATGGTGCACTGTTTTTGTTCCTTTTGCTAGTAAACCGCTGGGCGGGACTCAATGTTGTTATATCTGACAAAACATAACATTCGTTCGTTGATCATCAGACATATATGGGCGTCTCATAAACTGTACTGTTCCAACAAAAATGGACACGTAATCAGCTGACGTAATCACATGCTCAGTTGACCGTCGCTTAAAAACAATTCAGGAAAATCTTGAGGTTGACCGCGTCCTGTACTTCTTAATAGAGGTAACCACTTATGTAGTTACAGATCACGTTTAAGCTCATGTAAATTTCGTACTCATTTCGGCGGAAGTCTTAACGAACTCTCAGGATTTCACTTTAACCATGTACAAGTTATATGGAAATACATATTGTATAAAAGACCATAAGAGTTGTCTTTGTAATGTAGTATAACTGGAAAAAATAAAGTATAACCGCGTGATTGATGGTCGGCAGATTTTTAAACCATTATAATTATATTCAATTCTAGTGTCGTCAGTTTATACATGCACGAGGAACCCTCGCGCCTTTCTTGCGCCTTGGCGAGGTGGGTCGCGTGCGTGCATTGAAAAGGGTCACAAAGCACGCGCGTAATGTCGCGGTTTTAGTAACTAAACGTTTTCCGATCGATACATACAGTCTATTAACCTCAACAACTTGAAAAAATAAATTCAACGAAAATTGTTTTTTTTTTGCTACTCGATTTCGATAATCTTTCCTTTAGTTCTTTAAAATTCGCGTACTCTGATCTGAATAACCCTTATTAGTTCAGCTAAATACTTGTAAAAGAGTCTACATACTGCAAGCTGTGGGCAAGATAGGCGAGAGTCTTTCAGTTAGCATGTAACCGCGCCATGCCAACTTTTTTATCGCACTAAAAGGAAACCTGACTTGACAATTTAAGAGGACAGGATGTCCACCATCCGGTAAAAAAATAATAAAAATAACTCAAATTATCCTTTACAAATCAAAATATGAGAACTTGTTTAATTGATTAAACGCTCTTACTTCGTCAACACAGCAGGTGAATCACAGTCACTCAGACATTGTCATCATTATCATTCTTCAGATTTGTTTGATAAAGCAAATTACCAGCCGCTGTTCGGGAAATGAGCCCGCGATCGAGCGCGGAGGAACAAGCTGCTGTTACTTACATTCAGGATCGAGGTTTCAATACAATAAAACTATCGGTTAATAAAACAAAATGGACTGGTTTTTTAGCTTAGACCCATTCTTTTATTCTTTAGCTTTTGATTTGAATATTTGATCAAACTCGAAAAGCTATCGGGTCATGTTATCTAAGTTAAAAAAACACTTTTAGTTGGAAAAAAAAAAACACTAAAGAAATAAAACGCAATAGCATTGTCAAATTGAGCATCTGCAACGTTCATAAAGCCATCACAGTGTCCAAAAACATTAACAGGAACAAATTTCTCTTTGTTTTGATTTTTTAGCTTGAGCGCAGTTCATAATAAGGAAATACCGTATTCATTTGATTAACCGCCCTGGGCGCTTATTACATTTTTGGACCGTGAGAGTGGGCGCTTATTCGAGGTGGGTACTTATTCGAGGCTGGGCACTTGTTAAATTTTCACCATTTTCAGCAAATGAAGTATGTTTATTTTGCAACAAAACAATAAATGCTAATAACCAAACGCGAAGAAGTAACAAAGAAAGGTTTCTGTACAATACTCTGAAGAAAACTTAATCCTCGGGGAAGTCTCTTATTAGAATTTATTCACTCGATCAAGTGGGTTGGATGGGGGTGAGCGCTTATTTGAGTTTGATTGAGAGGAGGAGGGGTGGGCGCTTATTCGAGGCTGAGCGCTTATTAACTTTTTCTGCCTTTAGGATGGGCGCTTATTCGAGGTGGGCGCTAATTCGAGGTACTCTCCACAACCGCCACCGCTTTACAAAAGGCCACTATTTCTGGCGGACGTTCCATACACTGACTCTTGTTTAAACCTCTCTACAACGGCCACCTCTCCACGACGGTCAATTTCTTTTGACCCCAATGTGGCCGTTGTCAGCGTTGTGGAGAGGTCCAACTGTATAGACATCATTGGCTCCTGTTGCCTAGTCTGCTACACAGCCGTTTTTAGTGTCGTCACGCAACGCTCCTCCCCAAACGTTGCGTGATGACACTAAAAACGGCTGTGTAGCAGACTACCTGTTGCCTGGCTATTACCGAGATCATTTTAGAAAAGTAAATAGAAGACCTGACAGTTAGAAATGTCTAAACCGGGGATCATCGCAACGTAACCTCCTTTTGTCTTATGATTTATTTATTTATTTTTTGTTTGCAAATGATCTAACTGAACAAGTACAGATGTCTACTTTTTTCACTGAGCTGCCTGCAACTGACCAAATTTAAACTTCTAAGTGACTCACTAAATTAAAATTTAAAATTTAATCTTTTACGATGTGTTCTTTAAGTTATGACGGGTAAAACCTGCAACTGAGAGTCAGATTTTGTGGTGGATAAGGACGAATACATGATATTTTCATGATAAAAAACGACTGAGTCTAAGAATATAGCCGTTAAAAGGTTATTAGCCAATAGTTGACCCAATTATCAATATTCAGAACAACTTAAAAAAACATGCCAAACTTTTAACTGGTTACACTCATCAAAGTTTTCATTTCATTGTGTCGTAATTTTTTCCTGTTGACAGGTATGATATTGCCTGTTAATGAGATCTTACAAGCGTCACAACTCATTATGATCATGGGTAGTGTCACGTTCGCAGCCTGATTAACGTGACGTGTCACTGTGTAGAATTTCCGTGGCTGCAGTTCGCGGGCTCTGTGTTTTCAACCAATCACAGCAAGACACGACGGGTCAGTAAACCCATTTCCGGTGTGTTGTACACGTCTTCGTCCTCTTTCGTTGCCGTCTTCCAAATCGATCAGTCCAACACTTCGGTTAGCTCGTGAAGGATTTAAACAATGAAGGTTTATCTCGCATTAGTACTCAGTTTAGTGGCTTTCACAATTGGAAGCAAGGCTGAAGTAGAAATCAAAGAAGAAGAAGATGTTTTAGTTTTAACAGAAGCCAATTTTGATCATGTTTTAGATTCCCATGAGCATATTCTCATCGAATTTTGTAAGTACTACATGTTGTACGTCTGTGAACTTTACAAAAAGTCATTCACTGCGGTCTTCATGATTTTTGTTTCATATGGTTTATTTCTCTCGGTTAGATGCCCCTTGGTGTGGACATTGCAAAGCTCTGGCCCCAGAATACGCCAAAGCCGCCGGACAGCTCAAGAAAGAAGGATCTGCGATAAAGCTTGCAAAAGTAGACGCAACAGTAGAAACAAAACTTGCTGAAAAGTACGAAGTTCACGGCTATCCGACCATCAAGTTCTTCAGATCCAAAAAGTCGGTTGAGTATGGAGGTAAGAAAAATTACAGACGGTTCTTTACGAGGACAAAAAATCGTGCAATGGATGAGTCATCACACGTGCAACCATGTGGAACGTTCCATATTTTTTTGGTTGTGAATATTAAAATTTATTATTAAATGTCGCTGTTTTCTTACAACTAATTAAGTTTGTTTGGGTTTCCCAAATGGTCGAAATACGTAGGAATCGCCAGTTGGGTTTCACTTGATATCAGTTTTGTACGGTTATCTTTTAGTTGTTCTTTTGTTATTCGTTCTCAAGAGTCGTGGCACTGAAAAAAAGGCTCTTTTATCAGCTGTCCAAATAGGTGTTTGTTTCACAGTTAGTCTAATCACCGAACAACTTGTTAAGAATCTTTGTTCAATTTTATAAAGCCTTGTTATACGCTAAAAGGTTTGAGCAAGAGAGCAAGCTATAGAGTAAAAGGAAAAATAGGCTTTCAACAACCGCTTTTTGTTTTTGCCAGGTTCGACATGGAGGGGAAAAAAAACTTATTTTGAGCTTCATAATGTAAACAGCTTTAAAATATTTGATTTCTGGACTTTGGGTTGTTGAGGAACTACCTGTTTTAAACTTCTTACCTCGACACTACAAAGAAGGCTTTTGTTTAAAAATTTAGATAATACATTTAAACCCTTAAACGAAGAAGTTCACGTGATTTTCGCTGCACTTGTTCTTTTTCTTTGTCTAATAAAATCTTGTAAGGAACAAAAGAGAGATTTTTAGACATAAACATTTATAAATATTGTTATCTTTGTTACTCCCCAACAATATGTAAATTTATTTTGACCGCTGAGAGATGAGTCATCTTTAACAAACTTTATCATTTCAATAGGTGATTTTACCACAATTATCTGTTGTGGTAACTATTCTTTTGTCCTTCTTAACATGTTGTAAATGCAAATTATAGTGGACAAGATCCAATCACAGTTACCCAACTCAGTAATGTTATAAAGAGGGTACACCTATCAGTGTAAATTCTGTAGGGATTGAGGGGTACTGTGGAGAAATGAAGAAAAGAATTGTAAATGCAAATTATATTTGACAAGATCCAATCACAGTTATCCAACTCAGTGATGTTATAAAGACTATGCACCTATCAGTGTAAATTTCACAGAGGTTGAGGGTACTAGTGAGAAATGGAGGAAAAATTACGATCAGGGAAAAAACAGCATGTTATTTAGAGAGGTTCCTTTTGTCTTCTTAGTGGTTCCCAGTAATTGGAGACACTTCTAGATCAAAGTGGAATTTAGAAATGTTAGATTTTTAGAAGAGGGTAAAACCACAATTCTCAGAGAATAACCTCTGAGCTAGAGCAGAGAAGAAAACTAGCATTCCTGAGGGTGGATAGTGCTGGAAAGACAGTTAACTCTATACCTGAAGTTCCCATAAATTCAGTTGTCATACATGTTTTCACATGGTGTGTGCTCTTGTCAGGGCATAAATGGCCTCTAGGTATGATCATAAACTGTATGGGGCATTTTCACATGAAATCACAGCAGCCATATTATTTTGTGTTCCAAAACAGTGAAAAGGCAGCCATGTTCCAAACCAATTCTGTGGGAGGTGAACTCTTTTCTTGTGTAAACAGTTCTTTTGTACACTCAATAACTTTTTATAGATGCTGGCCAAGTGAGTGAAAATGCTCTTTATCCAGTTATGTCTGAACACACCTTGATTACTTCAACTTGTATCTAAACTCTGCAGGTGGCCGTACATCGGAAGAAATCATTACATGGTTGAGTAAGAAAACTGGCCCACCTGCCAAGGAACTCAAGACTGCTGATGAAGTCAAAGAATTCGTTGACAAGAAAAATGTTGTTGTTATTGGGTTTTACAAAGATAAAGAATCTGACGCTGCTAAAGCTTTCATCGAGGCTGCTCAAGGCGTTGATGATTTGGAGTTTGGAATCGTCCATGATGAGGCCATTGCCAAGGAGAACAAAGTAGAAAACGATAATGTTGTAGTCTTTAAAAAGGTAAAGAAACTTGTTCTTGTTTGTGATCCACTAACAATAAGGGTTGTTTGCCTTTACTTTGTTTTTCTCTAGACATTTTTAATATCTATGGGTGTTTATCTACATGACACTGATTTTTTTGAAAATGAACTTAGGAAAATTAGCAGCCATTTGATTCAAAAAGGGCCAAAAGGCGGGTTTTGGGCCCGATAAGCTCGAAAATCATGTTAATAACGTGAAAGAAAAGGCAAAATAGAAAGAGCAAGGAGGAAGAAAGTAGGAGAAGAGAAAAAAGCAATGGTTGCACTCTTAGTTTTTATATTGGCTATTGCTTGAGAGAAGAAGCCTTCTAGGAAGTTACATTTTCAAACCTCTGACTACATATACATGTATGTGTTTCAAGGGAACTTTAAAAAAAACCTGTTATAGCAGTGTTGTTTTGTCTGCTTAGTGCTTTCAAGTTCTCCTTTTGTTTTGTTATTAGTACTATTGTCATTATTAACATTTTTGTTCTTTTATGAACAGTACCTACAAAATGACAAACTTGTTGAAAGAGTGACAGTATCACTGCATAAACAAACCAATATTATTCCAAAGTTCAAATGAGCAGCTAAATTCCCAAGTTTTATCGTGTGAAATTCATTTGTCTTTCTGCATTTTTCTGGTCACAGTTTGATGAAGGACGTGCTGACTATGATGGTGAAGCCAAGGCTGATGACATCATCAAATTTATCAAGGCCAACCAACTTCCTCTTGTTACAGAATTCAATGATGAGGTAAGAGTTACAAAATCACAAGTCGTTTTTCATCACCTTCAGCTTTAAAGGAAATGTTCTTAATCCTACCCAAACCCAAGGGTTTTCCAGAGAACTGCATTGGTAATCAGACTTCACATGGAAGATTGCGGGTAGTTAAGTCATTTACAGAGGTCTTTTAATTGCATACTGCATGGATATGTAACATCAAAATTATCAGTGTCAAAACTTTGTGCACTGTACATCACTGAGTGATGGTAACTGAAAGGTGCAAAAGTCATTAATCAATAGGGTAATTGTGAAGGACAGCTTCCCAAACTCCACTGACCACATGGTAAACTGCTGCTTCTAAGCCCCCCCTCCCCGACTTGTTAGCTCCCCCAGATAGAGGCCCACCTACCTGTAAACAAAAAAAAAATGATGATAAGCCCTCCCCCCCAGATAAAAGGCCCCCAGGGATGTCAGAAAGTTTTGAAGTATACAGCTGAGTTTTCAAAGTAGGCAGCCAGTCCAGGGATATTTTATTTAAAAAACACCATCCGTAAAGAAATGCCAAGCAGATGAGCCGGCCAATACTAACCTAGTAGGCAGTGATTTTTGCTGGTAGCCGGCTACTTTTGACAACACTGGGCACCCTCTATTCTGTGTTGAAATGAATTTGAGTCGCGCTATGATGTTTTGAAGCTGTGTATTAAAAACCAGTTAATGTAATGTATTTTAGTCAGTCAGGGTTCTCAATAGAAGGCGGCACCCGGCGATTGATCGCCGCTTACTTTGGGATTTATAGCCGCTTACTTTGTGTTTAGGTCGCTTTTCTTTGCTTTGTTTTGACACCTCTGGCTTTGCTGAAGAGCCTCCTACTTTATCAGTGATCACCTCCTACTTAAAAATCTATTGAGAACCCTGGTCAGTACTGCTATAGCTTGTTTCAAAGCCCTTTTTCTGTTCCGGGTATATAAGCCCCCATGGACATACACCCCTCCATCTAGAAGCCTTCCTAAAACCCCTTACAAAGATGTTTAATTCCAGGGCTTACAAGCGGGAGTTTACAGTATTTCTTGTAATTGTCTCTTTCAGAATGCACCTAAAATTTTTGGTGGAGATGTGAAGAAGCACGTTCTTCTCTTTGTGGGCAAAAAAGTTGATAATTTCCAAAGTATTTATGACAGCTTTTCAGCTGCTGCTAAGGATTTTAAAGGAAAGGTTCTCTTTGTCTTTGTTGACAATGATGTGGAGGACAACGCTCGTATCTCTGAATTCTTTGGAATTGATGCTAAAGAGATCCCTACTGTTCGACTGATCGACTTGGCACAGGATGAGATGACGAAATATAAACCAGAAACCACCGAGCTTACAACTGATAATGTCAAAGCCTTTGTTCAAGATGTCTTGGATGGAAAAATGAAGGTAATTTTGTCATAAATTTAAGTTTCAAGGTTTTGATTGTTTATATCTGGGTTGACTCCAGCTCCCTACCAGATCAATTTTTTTTTTGTCAGCAAATAGAAAGAGACTATGCAGCCACTTTTTAATAAATGCATTTTTGATGTTGGTGAGAAGACAGAGACGGTCATTTGCTCATGTTTTCTGTGGTTTTTTCTGTAGTTTACACATACAAAGGCAAACCAAGTTGGTTGAGATGAGTTGGGGAATTGTCTCCATCTTTTCATTCTGTAAAACTACTTTCTTTGGTCTTGTTGGCTTCCTATATGGTATCAGCAGGATATAAGCCCTGACATACTAGTATATTTCACAACTGAAAAACTATGTACATTTTGTACAGTGTCGATATATTTTTATCTCCCGCTTCAATAGCATACACCTCTGTCAGGTTGTTCTTTAGGCAGCGGAGGAGTAGAATTCTCCAGCTTACCTGCAATAGCCTATGACTATTTTTTATTCATACATAGTCTCTTTCACAATATTCTCCTGTAACATTACAGCTTTCTCCTGCTACTATAATTCTTAACGAAAACCCTAAGTATGAAATGGAATCGCTTGTTGCCGCAAAAAAGGTGACATTAAAAATCTCAAAGATCACTGAGTTTGGTAAAACTCATTCTGGTTACGAACAAATCAGGGGTGGATCTAGGGGGAAGGTGCAGGAGGTGCGCACCCTCCCCCTCCCCCCCCCCCCCGAAATGACCTGCGGTTTTCTAATACAACTAGTATTCTGCCAAAAAAAAAAACTATGTGGTTTATTGGTGTTGAAGTAGAGCAAGAGACGAGTGCACCCCTCCTAAAAAAAATCCTGGTTCCACCCCTGCCAATGTACCTGTATTTCAAATGTTCACAGAGTTAGTGGAGTATTGTGATGCTACAATTCTTCTTTCCAAAACCTGATTGCTTAGGTTAAAAGTTTGTTACTAAATGAGATTTGATTGTGTTCTGCTTGTACACATTCTAATTAACCCTTTAAGTCCCATGAGTGACCAATATCAATTTTCTCCCAACATTACAAATACATCATCAAGACAAAAAGTTATGAGAATTAGTAAAATGATCATCATGGGGAAAGTACTTTGATCTTTGATCAATTTCTCTTCATTAATTCATGAAAAAAATGTATGGACACAAGTCTGGAGAATTTGTATGTGGATATTGGAGCTTAAATGGTGAAATCCTTTCATTTTCCTTCTTATTTTTCAGGCTCATCTCTTAAGCCAGGACGTTCCTGAAGACTGGGATGCTAAACCTGTGAAGGTCCTTGTAGGAAAGAACTTTGATGAAGTAGTTAAAGACAAAACTAAGGGTGTTTTTGTTGAATTCTGTGAGTTCATAATACTATTGTTTTATTTTGTAATGATTTAGTATCCTTGGGCAGGCATGGCTGTCATTAAAAAGCTAACTGGTTGCCTCCTGCCAGTTACATTTTATGTAAGCATTTTAATCCTGTCATGTTTAACGTGAATTTTGTTCACGTTATTTTTCATCAGTAGAGTGCCTTTGAACTTTGTAGATTAGCTAAGTGCTCTTCCACTTTAACCTTTTAAGTCCCAAGAGTGACTGACCAACATCAATTTTCTCCTAACAAAATCAATACATAATCAAGAGAAGAGGTTGTGAGAATTAATAAAATGATCACCTAAGGGAAAATACCAATTCTCTCAACTTGTTCTTTTTGGAAATGTATAGAGACCAGTTTGGAGAAATTGTATCTGGATGTTGGCATCTTAAAGGGTTTTAAAACAAAAGTACCGGCCAATTTTTACTGTATTTTCTTTGTTTCTCTGCAGATGCCCCGTGGTGTGGCCATTGTAAAAAGCTGGCTCCAATCTGGGATGAACTTGGAGAGAAATTCAAGGATCGTGAAGATGTTGTTATTGCTAAGATGGACTCCACTGCTAATGAAGTAGAAACTGTGAAGATCCAGAGTTTCCCAACTTTAAAATATTTCCCTAAAGATAGTGAGGAGGTAGGTGTCAACCTGAAAACCTTGAATGTATGTCAGAAATTCACTACAGGAAATTTGTTTCTTTCAGTGAAGTACATATACTAGTTTCTTAAAGCATCAGGCAGCAAGATTCTTCCTTGGTGACCAGTGTAAGATGAGAGGGATGGAGGGTTTTGACTTACTATCATAGGTTTGCAATAGAGTAGAATCCCATCTAGTGAAGAAGGAAACATAATATGTCTGATAATTGTTCCATTTTGCACATTGAAGCAAAGTAAAAGAGTAACCAGGCCTAAAGAAATTACAGGTCTAGTCAAATCGTAAAAATTTAGAATGACTGGTTTGCAAATAGTTAATGAAAGAAAAATAGCAAAGCCATCCCCTGTATGTTTTCCTGCATAAAAATTTATATGAATCTTTTTTTGTTGTTGTATTGCAGATTGTTGATTATAAAGGTGGAAGAACTTTGGAAGATTTAGTTAAGTTTGTTGAATCTGAAGGCAAAGAAGGCAATACAGAGCCAACCGAGGGAGAAGAGCCACCTCCAGATGTTGATGCAGAGGAGGAGGGTGCCGAGCCCGCTGAGGGAGCTGAGGGTGAAGGCGATGCTACTGAAGAGGGGGAAGCTGAGACCCCGAAGGATGAGCTGTAGAACCGAAGATGTCTCACATGGAAAGGAATCTATTATGACACTCTTGTGATTGCACGAGTGTAGCCGATAGTCCCTCAATATGAGGACATTCTCTTCAGCCTTGTTTTACTATTAATGCAAGCATGAGCTCTATTACTCAAGTTCAAGTTCACAATAATTTTTGTAGTCAAATAGACCTTTTTCATAAATTGCCAGCTAATTAAGTTATCATTACAAAGGCTTTTAAGGTTAAGCATGTATGGTGTGAAGCCTTTGCTCAAGTACCCTTGTTAGCATGTGCTAAGTTCATAAGAATTTTTATTCCAAAATGTTATACCAGTATAGGTTAGATTAACTAAAACATACCATATTAATGATGTGCCACTAATGAGAGAGGTCTGTGATAGATTCCCCTGCTTTTGCTTGCATTCGTGGTCAAAACCAGGCTATAATTAGCGACAAGAGCAACATAATCACTTTTCATTTTTTGTTTAGTCTTTCCACTTAGCCCACATTTTCTGGCACTATTTTGTCAACCATAGATAATCCACTTATGGTGTTTTTAAACTCTATTGGTCGTTCCTGACTGTTTCTAGACTTTTTTTCAACTCGAAGTTTTTGGAAGTGTTCAACACTCAAAATTGACCATCCACCACAACGCTTGATAACTTGGTCCATTTTATTTATAGCATATTTTTGGTGTGAAGGTGTAATTTAAAAAGATAACCTGAAAAAAAAACTTTCAAATAAAATTCTTATTGATAAGGGTTTTTTGTTGTCTTTGTTGTTGTTATTTTCTATTTTCTATTTTCTATTATCATTCATTTAAACCATGTCTCCGTTTCTGATTGGCTCAAACCCCTAGATACTTGACATCTCGAGACAAAACAACTTTAGCTAGCAAAACGCGATTCAGCCGCCATTGTTTTGGTTTTCAAAGCCGGCGCTTTCGCTACTAGTTAGCCTGTTCCAAGCTCCAAAATAGTGGTGAAAAGTCGTTCAGTAAAAAGATGTAAAAAGAAATGCAAAAAACGCGCGGGGACTGGGGAGAGACAGGACCCCCTTTTCCCGACAGTCCCCTTTCCCAAGTGGCGCGCGTCTTGTTTTCGCTCTGCTCGTTTTAATACATCCCCACTATACTTACCTGAGAGCCTGGCAAAGGCTACAATACTCGTCACAAATCGTTGAAACAGACACCGCTTCTCTAGAAAATTCTTGAGATTTACTCCGCGCGCTTTTGTCCTCACTGTAACGTGCCCTCTCCCTCCCCCAATGTTGAGCCACGCGTATTTTGAAGCACTGAGACCGCTGCAATGCCCAAATCAACATTGGGGACGGGGAAACGCACACAAGTGTTTCAAGATTTTTGATGAGGATTGTAGGTACTAGTGGGCTATAACATATAGCCTAGCAGTAGCTCAACCAATCAGAACGCAGCATTGATAATAGACCGCTAGTTGGATCATAACCAGCTACTATTCACCAAATTTGGAACACCGCTTGTTGATATCTGTCAATAGACGTCAATTTTACAGATATCGACAAACGAGGGACAGCAAAAGGGCGGTAGCTCAGTTGTTTAAGTATAGCTGGAGAAAATACGGCAGCCGATTTTACCCGTTACGCGAAAAAGAAATAGCCGAACTACTGCCTAAATAACAGTGAAAATAGCATCAGTACCACTTAATAATGGGTTATACAACTGCAATTTGACGAATTCCTGCCAGAATAAATATCCTTTTATTTCTGGCACCAGCCAGACTATCAAATATCTTTACAAAAGCCAACGCAACCATTAGTATTTATAAGGTTAAAAATTATGTTAGTACCAATTTGAGATTGCCTTTCCCTAGCTAGTCCGTTAGCCTGTTCCAGGCGTTTTGATGGTGGGGAGCGGGCAAAAAATTAGGGCGCCGGCGAAAAATTGACGAGGGAAAAAATAGGGCGGGAAAAGGGAGGGAGGGAGGGTTTTCTCGCTCTTGCCCCAGTCTCCCCTCGTTTTTTTTCCCCTCGTGTTTCTTTTTGCGCTGGCCGCGTATGATTTAACTTGCTCCCCACTATCAAACGCCTGGAACAGGCTACTAGTCCGTTTATGGAGTCCTTTCCACCTCTTCCATCTTTTCACCTGCAACCGGCCTGCAACATACATTTGATAGTCATTTGTGTACATTTTGATCAGGCTGCTTTTGTCAGTATTTTAGACCAAGTAGTTGTGGAAAACCCGGGTGGAAAACATTCCATAAGAGGGGCCCAATAATTGTTTCACCCTTCCTCTGAAACCTTCTGAACATTTCTTTCAATTCACTGCAAGTCTCAGTTCCAATTCTAACACTATTCGTTCTTTCTGAGAAATACATTCTTAACAGTCCGATAGTTGAGTCGGTGAAACCATATGCCCTCAGCTTCTCTGCTTCGCCAATAGCGGCGGGAGTAGCGAATCGAAGGCTCTTGATAAGTCTGTTGATAATACCCTTATTTATACCTTATATCCAATGACTTTTTCCAGTCCCCCGCTACGAGTTTGATTAGTGTTGTCAGGCAGATGCTTTGTGCAGAAGACCTAAAGGCACGTGCATGATAAACTTTAATCTGTAACAGAGTCGTAACTGTTAACAGTATGACATGATTTCTGTTGTGAAAGGTTTGAACCCAGGAGTCATTTCAAAAGTAGGTTGGGTTTGATCGTCCCGGTGAACGTAGTCCTGAATAGGACTGTTGTTGTTGACAGTGACTGACGTTTCGACAACCTGTGGTGAGTTAGTTGGTGACATTTATGGGCTCCTGTTCAATAGAAAACCCTTTTTTATTGGTTGTTTTTGTTCATCCAAGATGGCTGCAGATGCAGGATATATGAGGGCTTGTGATTGGTTTTCTTTCTCGATCGTCCTGACGTCATGGGGTGGTTCTCCTCATAAAGCAAGGCCGTGAGGCGAAGAGCAGTGGGTCTAAGGAAATTTTGGTTTTCGACTTATAATATCCATCTGCAATGGCTGACACAGAGGAACAAGTACCACCAATAGAGGACGAAGAACCTGAAGAAACACCGGGATATAAAGCACCAGCACAAAAATCTTTGGACGAAATAAAAAATTTGGATGCCGACGATGAATCTTTGGTAAAGTACAAGCAAACATTGCTCGGCGGAGCTGCGGCTGCCGGCGCAGGTGAGAGTTAATCGGTTCGATAATCAGTTCGTGGGACCCAAATATTCTTTACTGACGTTCGCAATGTATTTTTTCGTTCACAGCTGGAGATGATGGAGGACCTAATGTCGTTGTTGAAAAAATGTCAGTGATCATTGAAGGTCGACCCGATATTGCCTTAGATCTTACTGGTTTGTATCAGAATTTAGCTCCACATGCTCATAGCTTGTAGTTTTTAGTTTCCCTTTCGTCATCCTCTTACAGTCGTGGAGATCCACTCTCATTTGACATGCGAAATTAGCCGAGTAGAAGTCTTAATTACGAGTACATTGATCTTTTCTCCATCCGTCCTCTTGGAAACTAAAACTTTACTGTGTGCGTGACATTTTTGAATTCGAACTCGGTGTTCTATGTCAGCATCATGTGTAAACTCGAAATAAAATGTTTGTAAACTAAAATGATTTTAATGGCTCTTTCTCGTCTTAACAGGCGATTTGACCAAACTTAAAGACAGTCCTTTTATAATCAAGGAAGGAGTTTCGTACAGGCTTAAAATTACGTTTAGGGTAAGTGATAATAAATTCTTCAGCTTAATTTTTAAATCTTTAAGTTGTGTTAGATCCTTTTACAATCGACATTTTAGAGGAAAAATAGTCATATGCAAATCATTTTGTTATTTTCCTTTATTCCCAGTGAGTTATTTTGGTTTTGTCTTTATTTTTAAACTTGAACTTCCTTTTAGCAATGGACATCCCTGATAGCTAATTAGCCATACATATTACAAAGTAATTAGTAAAGTAAGTTGTTTTCATAATTTTTTGTTCTTTACAGTAGAAAGTAAAATAGACTTGGTATTTTATTATTGCTCTAAGTGTCCTTAAAGCCACATAAACATAGGAATTGTCTAGACTACTGAACCTAAAACAATGGAGAGTGTTTTGAAATTCACTTATTTACTTGTCATAAGTTACAGCAATGCCTACTACAAAGAAGTTGTGCCGTAATTTACCATAAATGATCAATTAAGTGCCGCTACTCGAATAAGCGCCGCTCTTGATAAGCGCCGCAGCACCAATTTGGGTATTTACAAATAGACACCCCACCTTTGTTATGGTGCTTGATATAAAGAGAAATCAAAACCATATTGCTTGACAAATCAGACCCTGACCAACTTGTGAGTTCTCAAGTTTGAATGTCAGGAAACTTTTGAAACGGAGTTCATATAACGGTTCGAGTTGTACACATTTGTTTTTTTCTTGTCCAGCTCTGAGTTCTCTCTACATTCCCCTCAGTGTTTTACCCGTAGTTGAAATAAGCACCGCACCTATAACATGGAAAATGAAATAAGTGTCGTGGCGCTTGAGCAATCATTGTGAAAGAGAGCTAACAAAGTGACAAATTAAAGAGTAATCACAGTTAAAACTTTTCACCAGGTAGCAGAAAAAAAAAGTTTCCTTATTGATGACATCACAGACATGTGACATAATTTTGGAGTAAAAATGGTACCAACCGTGTGGCACAAAATTTTTGCGGGAGTTTATTTTTGCGGAATGGCGATTTCTTGTGTTTTGGGGGAACTAGTTTTAGAGATTATGACAGATTGGTTTTTCTTGATGGGAATTAATTTTTGGGATTTTCAGAAAGTAGCCAGAATTGATGATGTTTTTGTTTTTATTGAGTATGTGCAATGGAAATACATATTTTTGCAACAATACTACGGTGTGCGTACCTATGTGAAACCAGTATTTCATTGTATACCGTTTTGTTCCTGAACAATAGAGACAAGTTGTAATTGAAGAGATAAATAATGTTTGCTGTAATTTTTATTTGTGGGAAAATCGCAAAAATTAAAACCCACAAAAATTTTGTGATACATGCTTGCTGCTTAAGAGACTTATTGAAACGTATTATATTTAGTAAAGATGCGTAACTTAAGTAGAAACAATAGCTGCAGGGAATAAAAATTGGAAGAAGCTATTTGACAAAATAATTAGATAGGAATAACATGATATGAGTAGAAATATTTTTTGGTAGTTTGATAATTTCCTTGTAAGTAAATAAATTAATGTTAGGCTATCAACCTTAATGTTGCATGAAGCGTAATTTAATTGCAGATGTTGTAAAGCCAAGGTGATTTCTTAAAATCGTTTGAGCAAATTTTCTAGTAAACAATTTGCTTTCTTTACATACGAATTGTAAAAGAGACAAAGTCCAACATCCTCATGTGCAAATTGTGTGCATGAGTTATTTTTATAATTCTTCTTGCTGGATTACCTTATTACAGGAAATTAACGCTCCATGTTTAATTCCATTTAACCTTTAATTGTGTTGTATTCAATTACGCTTAAAACCTTTAAGCATTTGTTGTCGTTTGTTTCCGTTAATGTTTGTTTTGTTGAATTTGTACTGTTTCGTATTCCAAAAGTTATCAGCATATTGGTACCCACAGCAGAGGCAGTTCGGAAAGCGATAGTGATGTGGTGGTAGGCTAATGGGCAAAATCAAACAAAAAACTCCTTACCTTGAAACTGAGACATTTATTAGTTATTCCAACAGGGTTGGAATAAATACTTAAGGAACAGCTTGAATTTGGATATTTTGTGAATATGTATGTGTCTGGTATTAAATTTCACGATTTTAATATTCGTGAGTATTAGATTTCATGAGTATTACATTTCGCAGTTTTTCCAAAATTGTGAAAATCACGAAATTTAATACTCGCAAAATTATATAATAAGGTCGTAACTGATTACAGCTGAGATCTAAAATGGTACGTGCTAGAGTTAACCATGCTTTATAAAAAGTCTTTTTCCACACTTTCTCATGAAACTGAGGTGTTTTGGTAGCATTTGCCAACATAAAACAGAAATAGAGCCTGTAAGTGTTAAATGAGCAAGGGATTTTGTGCAGGTTTACGGTAAAGGTGTTAAAACAAAACTGGTCATGCATGACAGAGCATGGCTGTTATAGTGTTTTGTGCAAGTTAGTATGTAATAGTTAATTGCACTCCTTTTTTAGGTTAAGCGTGAGATTGTTGCAGGTCTTAAGTATCATCAGGTAACCTCCAGGAAAGGAATAAGAGGTAAGTTAATTTGTTGTTAGCTTTGCAAATTTCAAGAAAGTATGGGCGCGTTTCTCTGTAAAGTCGTTCTATTAGCTTCAAAGGGGTCTGGCCAGGAACTGGTCATCTAGTCAAGCTTATTGGCCATGTTTTGCATTATAATACTTATGGTACTTCTCTTCTCCCTTACAAGAGTCTCAAACAATGTGCATTTCATACTGCCTTTTTTCCTTCTTCACTCCCATGTATTGATGTTGAGTGTAGATTACTCAGGACCAATTTACAACAGTTGAACCTGCATTCATGGGACACCCTCAGGACCAAGCCAAGTGTTCCCTGCAAGGAGGTTGGGCTGGGGTTTGTTAATAATTAACCAAAAAATAGAACATTTTTCTCTTATTCTGCCTTGATCGGAATCTGCTGCAGTCATTATTTCAAGCACCTAGATAAATATGTTTAAAAATCGTGATGGTGTGGGTTGAATTACAACAAGTTTAGTAAATCGATTTTAGTGAGATAATTACATGTTTCAAAAGCCGTAGCCATTTTGAAAACTGAACAATGAAACTTTTAAAGTGCGACTACTGTAACCGGGGCCACTTAGACAAAGTTAACCAATCAGATTACAGGAAACTAACAATACATTCCAAGAAAGTTGGTTATGGGCCAATCAGCAGCTCATAAAAAAACAATAGTTTCTCAAAGCACAAAATTTAAATATTGATAGCAAACAAGACAAGAAAACAAAATTTTTCTATTTGAAACTTACAACTCCCAGGAGACATATTTGTTGGACACAAGCTGTTATTTTGTAATATACCAGCAATTTCCTTACTGCCATTGCAGTGCTTTGCAATAACATCACGACCTCAAGTCAAACATTTAACTAATGTTTACTTGTTTTGCCTGCGACATTCACTCTAACGGACCTCTCAGAAAACATAGGATTTTCTTCAGTGGGTTCAAAAGGTCACATCTGTAGGTTGTAATACCCAGTAATAATTATTATAAAATTGGTTGATTTTGATCCATGTTGTTTGTTTCAATTATGATAAGCAACTAACTTTCTAGGAATGTATTGATATTTTGCTTTCCACAAAAATATCAAGAGAGTCTACTCCATTATGTCTAAACCATCTAGAGATATATATTACTCTCTCAGATTCCAACATCAATGTCAGAACCCTCTCATGTTGCCATCATTAGTCTATCCTTACTTTGAACTTTACCTTTACATTGAACCATCCTCGGAGACCCAGGAGCAGTCAGTCGGGTCAGGAGAAAAGGCGGGATGCAAGTTTTCAAGTACGGGCAAAAGAGCCCCTGGGTACCGACTCTCACCTAACTATTTCCAAAAATTCAAGCAGATGCCGCCTCATGATTGGGCACAAAAAATGCTTTGTATTATTGTGCCCAATCGGCGAACAGTTTCTCCTGAGTTCTTTTCGTGAGTTCGTACACGACAACTATTGTCTCACCACACTTGCCCGGTTCGTTCACCAAGCTTGTGCGTGCAAGGAAAACTTTTATTTTCTACTTTCCTTACCAGAAACGAAGGGACGTTTGGGATGCTATCAGCAGGAGCAATTCAATTAGCCCCGAGAATATTCTGTTTTTGACGGATCACAATGTATCGTAAATAATAGGAACTTTAAGATACGGCGGCAATGAGGAAGTCAAATTACCAATAGCTTCACAAGGCAAAACAACAACTTTGCACGTGCATCGCACTTTTTTGTACATTTCTTTGCCCTCAACTGCATGACTACCCGTGAAAATACCTAATTTCATGTTTTATGAGGGACATAAATAAGCAATGACAAACATGAAATTGAATATGGTTAATAGAAAGTCAGCTCCAGAAGAGTCAGCACTTGCATTTGACAAAGTAAGCGAGTTGGAATAATCAGGATAGAGACTGAAAAAATGTGAATTAACTTTTCCATGCGACGTTTTTGTGGCTGTCAGCCGTCGTGGTATCTTTTAAAAACTCCCTAGAATTTACGCAATACGCGTGACTGATGCAAGCGTGAATACCTGTTGTAAGCTCAAGCTTTTATTTTTGGAAAAGCGTCTTTAGTTTTTGGGCAGACAATATGGGGATTTTATATCAAACTGAAAGTTTCCTGACTGCGTGCATTTCGTTGGTGCATGAGCCAGACAAGCCGTGATCAAGACAATAGCCGTTGTGTACGAACTCACGAAAAGAAAATCAGGAGGAACTGTTTGCCGATTGGGCACAATAATACAAAGCACTTTTTGTGCCCAATCAGGAGCCGGCATCTGCTTGAATTTTTGGAAATAGTTCAGTGAGAATCGGTGCCCAAAGGCTCTTTCGCCTGTACTTGAAAACTTTTGCCCTGCCTTTTCTGCCGATCCGACTGACTGCCCCTGGGTCTCCGAGGATGACATTGAACAAGATGTAATACGCAAACCCTCGTTGATGAAACAAGAAACTGGATGAATTGAATGATTTTTTTCCTTCTTGTTAATTCCTAGTATTTTAGAGTAATTCTCAAAGAGGGCATCTATGAGACAGGGGGTGTTTGTTAGAGAGGAGCGTCTAATATAATAATTTTAACAGCCCAGAGGGGGCATATATTTGGAAGTGGGTGGTTATTAGGTCATTTACAGTATTCTTGTTTTCATTCCAGTCATTTTTAGTCAGTAGTTTGGCTATTATTTTCAACTTTGCATAGCTGTGAACTCTTTTGCCATTATTTTTCTCTATACTGATGCAAAAGCACCTTAACTGTTGCATATCTGTCTTGCTGTGATTGTTTATGCAATATAAAGGGTTCGTAAAGAGTGTTTAATTCTTGAGAAAGTCGTGAAATTTGCCCTGCAGTTTTCTAGACCTGGAAAAAGTTTAGAAAATGGAGATAAAGTGTGGGAAAATAATAAAAAGTCTTGAGTTTTTTTTTTCAAAGCTACAAAAAGTCTTTTATAAGTGAATTTTGTTTCATTTTGGCCAAATATTATTCAATCTCAACCATACGTTTGCAGCTCATCTTGAAAGAAGCTTTGTTCCTGCATTTTCAAAGGTCTCTATTGATCACCTATTTGATTACCTTGAGTCTGGAAAAAGAAATTATTGTTTTGCAAAAAAATACAATAATTGTATATTCAGATTTGAAGATTTTTTGCAGACTCAAGGTTATCAAACAGGTGATCAGTAGAGACCTTTAAAAATGCAGGAACGAAGCTTCTTTATTTTTGGCATCTGAGTGACAGTGTAATTAATGCTTCCAAATTTGGATAGGGCAAATCAAGAATTAGTTTGGGTAAAAGCCAGTTAGAAATTGGCCTCAGTGGACCAATAATTTTTCTTTCACTTTATGATTGACTGAAGAAAATAATTTTTCCATTATCTTCCAAATTTACTTAGAACTAGGTGGCTATGAAGATTTGGCTTGAGAGTTGAGCCAACCAGAAATGATAGATATTTTGAAGGGATAATGATATATTTTATCCCATAGGACACTTTGCCAAAATGATGGGAGGCACTTAAAAAGTAAAACATTTTTACTTTGAAGGAGGTTAGATTATAACTTTTGACTACTCTAAAATCCCATACTTATGACGGGTCACTACTCAGATCAAGGTGGTGACACTTCATCAGTATGGAATTTCTGCACTTGTTTCTCAGATATCATTTCGCGAGGGAACCAGTGCTGGCATTGCAAAATGTTGGCTTTTTTCTCAGGCTAACTTTGAGGTAGATTACAGTTGTGTGTCTCATTGTGTTTCAGTTGACAAGTCTTCATTGATGGTTGGAAGCTATGGCCCAAAAACAGAGTCCCATGAATATCTTACTCCTCCTGAAGAAGCTCCAAAGGGAATGCTTGCTAGGGGGCACTATGTTGCAAAGAGCAAGTTCGTAGATGATGATAAAAATTGCCACCTGGAATGGGAGTGGGCATTTGACATCACTAAAGACTGGCAATAATGAGTTTTCGTACAAGATGCAATGTAATTATTTTTGTCTAGCTGTCTTGTAGAAAATTGATAATATTAGGAGTGATCTATGGAATATGGAAACTGAATGTAGAATGACGTCTTACACACACCCGAAAATTGTGATGACATTGCTTGAGTTCTAGTCCCCTGTCTGAAAAGCTGTCAGCTGCAAGATCAACCTACAAAAACAGACCTGAAACCATAAAGACTCTTATTTCATCTTTCTTTGGCTAGCTTCGTTTCTCTTTGTATTTTCGTCTTTAATTCTTTCCGGAAGTAATTCTGACAGATGTATGTGTAGCTCACAATTTCTGGGTACGTCTGTTAAGTAGTAACTTGTCACTGATCATGATAATAAAATACTGCAAAGCTTATATTAAAATTAATGTAAAAAGTTCCACCTCGAAATTGTGTTTTTTGCTCTGTCCCCTGATATTATGACATATTACTTGTCATTTTCTCAAAGGCATAAGACTTAATTCCCCAAGGGGGGGTACTCAGGATTTCAATTGACGGGGATGATCGAAGGATTTTTTTGGGTTTGAAATTTTCGATTCCGGGATTTTTTTGGGTACGAAAATTTGGCAAGTATTTTTTTGGGTAGCTTGATTTGAGTAGGGATTTTTTTGGGGTATTAAAAAGAATCGGTAGTGCCCTGGCTGCGTAAACAATGGTTTGGCGCCTGGTGGTGTTTTTTTTAAGCAGCTCCCTTCTTAGGATTTTGTGAGGCGCAAAAAGGTCGGGGGTGTTTTTGTGGGGTAATTTTTGTTTCAGGGGGTTTTTTTTGTGTGTGGGGAAGACCCAGGGGTTTTTTTTGGGTTTTGTTTTTTGGTCCTTTCAGAGGACCCCCGCGCCTTGAACCCCCGAGACCCCCCCCCCCCCCCCCCCCGGCTTAATTCTCAAACAAGGTAAACGTTAAGGAAAACTCCAGAGTTTTGCATTCCTACTTCATCCTTCAGAATCAGTCTTCCATGAAAAGTTGTAACACAGCTAGTAGAAGTGACCCTACCCTCTACTGACTATTCTTGGTTTGCAACCTCGTGACAAGGTGGCCCATGTTGGGTGGGGGGTCAAACCAATGGAATTTTTTCTCGAAGAATATACGTGAAAATAGAGTTCAGTTCCCAGAGGAGCGAAATGCTTTTGTTCTTGAGCACCAACATGGCCGCTGTGACGTCAGATGCAAACCAGTAATGGTTATATCAAACACTTGTAGCAGTTCTGAGGGTCCCCAATAGTGTTCTTCCATCCCGTCCTCCCGCCCCAAATTTTGGCAAATTCCCGTTATCCCAACGGTTATCGTCCTGCATCCCGTGCATACTTTCAATCCCAAATCTTGCCCCCAGTTTGCTTTATAATCCCGAATCCCGGCCCTCAAATAACGCTAATCCTCAGATCCCGAAAAACCTATTAGGGACCCTCAAGACAAAGCAGGAAATCCCGAGGGTTATCTTTGGCGTCCCGCATCCCGTGCTTACTTTCAATACCGAATCTCGCCCCCAGTTTGCTTTATAATTCCGAATCCCGGAGCGCTTACCATTTGTACGGAAATTTTGGTGAAAAGTTTCCGTCAAATGGTACTAGTATTTTTATTGCCACCGAATTCGAAAACAGGAACGGGATTGAGTAGCACCATTTACAAAATACCGGTAAAATTTTCACTTTCTCTCGACATGAAGCCTGGTACTGGTAATCGAAACAAATGGTACAGAAAATTTCGATCGTTTCGGTAAGAACGGAAAAAAGGTAATACCTCGAAAGTATTTTTTTTTTTCCGAAAACTTTTCACCGGGATGAACCGTTCCATTTGAATTCTCCCCGGAATTTCCGGGTTATCCATACAAATGGTAAGCACTCCTGGCCTTCTGATGATCGTCGGATCCTCACCTCACCTCGAATGTGATACTGAACAATATGGCTGACATTTCAGTGACATTTCCCTTCCTTGCCCTGTTTCCCTAGTCTGCTACATACCCGTTTTTAGAGTCGTCAAGCAACGCTGCTCCCCACTAAGTGACAATGGGGTAATTCATGAGGAGGAAGGAAGTTGAGAATAAGTACCCGACCCGAACACGACGAGCGCGGAAGGGCGCGCTCAAGTGTGGCGCACTCTACTATTGGAGAAAAAGGCCAAATGAGCTCAATTAAAAAACACAAGAGTTTTACAAGACCTCGACCCCCAGGCTCCTGACGTAGTTAATCGAAAAACCTATAATCGATATGAATCACCGTTGAATATCGATTCCCGGTATCAATCGATTGAAATCGGAAAAGGCTTAAGTCATTATTCGGTAGAAGTTCAACATTTACACGATGTTGTCCTTACGGTATTATTGAGTCATTCATTCAGTCGTGGTATTATGTAGTTTTTTTAATTGATAAAATAATATAAGAATAAAACACTAACGGAAACAAATAGCTCTTTGTTTTGATTTTTTTAGCTTAAGCGCAGTTCATAACATGGAAAGAAATATTACTGCGAAAGTGGCAGAAACTAACTCTCTGTCGCTGGAGCAACTCCATAAATATGGATCATAATAAAGAACAAAATCAGTGTTCTTATTCGGTCTTATGATTTCAGTGAGTCACATTAATAAATGACTACATCTGGATTGAAAGGACAAGTAAAAATCTATTAAACCTGGATTAAAAATAAAAAGTCTTAAGCTAAAGCCGGTCTCATGACTGTTACTTGCCAAATAGCATTATCACTTGTTATCGATTATTACCGTTGTTATTAATTTTTCTATCGAATCGATATTAATTCGTGGATTAAATCGATTAATATCGATTGATTTCCGATTTCGATTTTTATCGATTAACTACGTCTGGAAGACCTTCACGCCTTTTTTGGATCAAAAAAGATTTAAGAGCCTCTAAAGATAAAGATTAAAGGGGCTGTGTCACGGCAGTCCAGTTTATTTTGATTAATTTTTCCAATTACTCACCCTCAATCGCTATGGAACTTAAAGTAGGCAAAGAAATTACATGTAAATGACAAAATCAGAGATCCGAGACAAACAAATGACTCCCGAGTATTATTTTTGAAGTTGCAAGCAGCAGGGATCAGCTTTGAAAAACTGTTAGGCTGAACAGTTTTCAAAAACCCTAATTTCAATCCGTTTCAATCTTCTTCAGTTTTGCCCATCCGTGGCATTTGTTGTTTCCGTTGTGTTATTTTAACCTTCCTTTAATGTTTTAAGCGGTTATTTTTATGTTTCTCTTAATTTAACGGGCATTTTGTAATTTCCTAATTTGGCTGAATTTCCTGACACAGCTCCTTTAAGGCCGATCAGTCCATAAATAGTAATCAACCTGAAATAGCTGAGATGATGGGGGACTATTTTAGCCTCCCACGCAGGCGTTTATTTCGTTTTTTGTCTTGTCACGCCATCCTCCCCAACGTTTGGGAAGAACGCGTGACAAAGCCCTAAGAAGCCTCCTTGTGAGGGCAAGCTAGGACTATTTTGCATCCATAGCAGATGACATAGGCAATGCTGGTGATAAAGTGAACGATGTAGACCAACATGTAAGCACTAATCACAATAACACTAATTGTGCTCACCAGGCTTACCATTTCCATGAAATTTAAATCTTAGATGTTGCTAAGATCCTAACAGACACAAGCGAGCTCACGCAACAGGACGACAAAAAAAGGAAGACGGCGAAACATTCGTGTGAGACAAACACGAAACAGGGCTATTACCTCTTCATTTTGTCGTGATCTTAACTTTCTTTTAACTGAAAGACTAGCCTGTGTACAGACGTCCCCCCTCCCTCAGGATTTCCCGATTTTTCCTGAGGGAGTGGGGACGTCTGTACACAGGCTACTGAAAGACCAGTTAAAAGAATGGTCAAAGTTGGCGGAAAAATTGTCCAAACAAAATTATTGTCATGCTTGTCACGCAAGATTTGCCGTCTGGTTCCCTCTGTCGTCCTTTTGCGTAAGTTCACTACTGACGCTACCAAGGCATCAGGATGTAGACTGCGAGCAGTTTCTCTTTTTCTTCAGATTTAGTAAGGGGAGTTCACTCGACGGACTACAGAACAAAGAGAGACTGCTTGTAGTCTAATCAGGATGGGACACGATAGGCATAGTTGCGATTTTGACAAAGCGCGACTGGTGTGCTCTAGATAATAGAGAAAGCCAGTTGGTCTTCTGTCTTACCGATAAGAGTAAAGCGTTTGACTGTTTACATAATCCACTTTTCTTAAACTAATTAGCCTGTTCCAGGGATTCAGATAGTAGGGCGCAAAGTTCAGATATGGTGGGGAGCGAGTAAATCGTAAGTGGGGAAAACGAAGGCAAAAACGAAGTGAGACTTTTTTCTCCTCGTCAATTTTTCGCCCCGCTCTACTATCTGAATGCCTGGAACAGGCTACAAATTGATGATATTGAATCTACTGATCGCCATTACAGAGTGTGATTGGGGGATGTTATCAGCTCTTGGAAGGAAGTGGGGAAGGGATTCCCTCAAGGTTTCTCGTTTGGGCCTCCTCTGTGGAACGTATTCCAGGATGAGTTAATTTACAAAATTTGAGAACTCAAACTCTGTATGTATACAGACGGACATCAGTTAAATGAAATAAGTCAAGACGCGGAGAACTATTTTGAATTAATAATTATATATAACATATACTAGGAGTTTCAATTAGAAAGTAACTGCTGGCGTCAGAGGTGGCAGACAATACGGAGCCGTACAGTTTTTAAATAACAAAAATGAAGATAATGAAAATGACCCCCAGGAATCAGGGTGGGTAAGCCTTTTTAAAACAAAAATAATGTTATTTCCATGTATTTGTGATGTATAAAAAGCCCTTCGCCTGTTATGCGCGCTAGTAAATTTCCACAGTGCAAGCAGATGATAAATTAAACGAGGCCTAAGGTTTTAGTAAAGAGCGAGGAGAGACGGCTGTTTTCGCAGGCTAGTTACATTTTTTAGATTTCTTTATTTGCCTATTGAGATAATTTCACCGAGTTGACGAACGGTTAAGTGATGAACCCCGAGGAAGACAGGATATTTTTATGTGTTTGGCTCGTCGCCCGTGACCGAAAAAATCCCTGCCCCTTGACCGGAAGACACTGGGAACAAAATCAATTTTCCGCTGACCAAGGATCCAAACGGACCCGCGGCTTGACGAGGCTTGACAGTAGTTTTCAGCGACTTTCTTTTCGCCGTTTTTGTTTGCTTAACCTGAACATCTTCCGTGGGCGTATCAACCTTTTTCTTGAATTATAAACATTTTTCTTTTTATATTTCGCCATAAGAAAAAGAAAAGTTTATATTAAGTGTTTGGTAATATTACATCGACAGAGAGGAATGTCCAGATGTCCCTCTTTCGTCGATCGTGCAAGGGTTGTAAGGAGCCCCGCCTTTGTGATAAATATAACATGTTTGTGTTGATGATAAATTGTAACAAATAAAGATTGTGAATTCAGGCCGTCAATTATTGATTCTAGGAGCTTCTTAAATCTAAAACAGTCATATTTTAAAGAAGATAAACATATTATGAAAGGAAAATTTCCGGCTAAAGCCTTCATGGAAAACAAAAGCTGCTTCGGATCTATTTCCGGCCCTCTACAATGCTTTTGTTCAGCTACTGGAGATGCAGTCATTCAACGTTGTTGAGTTCTCTCTCGGAAGTTAAGTCATTAGTCAGATTTCCCACAAGCAGTTTTAACCGGACAATGATGCGATGGCATAATGTACACAGATCTATCTCATATGTGCAAGTAAGTGTTATAAATGATCTAATTGCGTGTCATATAAAGCATCTGATGGAATAGTTTAAATACTTCCTTGGCATTCCGATCGTCTATTTGTCTGTTGTTGTTTCTTTACACAAATCCAACTCGGTTTTCTTGGATTATACTCATTGGCTTTGGAATAAATCATTGTTGTTCGAAAAAATAAACCTTTATCCGCTTTTACGGCAAACACACGAAACTATTCTTTAAAAACATGAAAATAACTTCTCCATATTCCGCTAAATAAGGTAATTGAACACGCCAGTTAATGCAATAGTGTTTGTACTGTCACTTGAAGTGCCTGTTCGGATCACGAAGAGGGCCGACAGTACTGTTGTTAAGTGTCTGAAAATTTGTAAACATTGCAAGTACGGTCGCACATCACGCTACCATGTTAAATCCTGAGAATTTGAGAAATTATCAAAAATGTTGTACAGACCGCCTCGGCAGCGTGCTGTCGCGTGCAGCTCAGGTTCGATGACGGGTAAATCTTCCGCGGAAATGCCGAGATGAGTGGATTTCCCGCGAAGTTCACCAATCAATGTGCCCAGCTGGGATAGCCAATTAAAAACCAGCGTTCCCACGCCTTGTCAAGTTTGATTGACCAATAGAAAAACTGTTCAAACAATTGGTGATTGTCCTTTCAACTGTCATCCCCAACGGCGTATAAGTTATACAGGCCGCATACTAGAAATTTTATCCGCCAGTTTTATGAATAAAGTCTCGGTGGTCGAAGTAGTTGATGATCACTTCGTTTGTGGTTGTAGACACATTTTCCTTTATTCTCTAAGCGAAGTCCTACATTTCTATCTCTTTTCTTTGCTCACCTCCAGTAACCCTTGTATATTGGGGCCAAAAGCTATCAAGCAGCCGGTAGATTTCCCGCCTTTGGAGGACAAATCATTTGCATCGATCGGTGAGTTAATTACAAACCTTTTCGTTCGCTTTTTTGGTATTTTTTTTCCTCTAACTGTGAATCTCGAAGCTTCTATGTCCAAAGCGCTACATTTTTACATTTTATGGCCTGTTTATCATATAGCTCATATTGTTCGCAATTATCCATTGAATGCATCCCTAAACAGGACGATTTATATTCAATTATCTGCTTCGAGTATTAAGATAAAATGCTTTGTCTTCAGTGCACGTGAATTGGCCCCATGCGTTTGTTATTGTTTATGTTTATGAACACTGTCTGTCCTTAAATTGTATTTTGGTTCATAATATACACACACAGGCAAAACAAAATATATTAAGCCCAATATACACAGGGTTGGCTGCCATCTGAATTTCGTTAATTTGTGAAAACGCCGCTATAATTGCGCTCATATTTTTGTTCCTTGAAGTCGACAAGGCTGTCGCGTGCTACAATGCTGAGTGAGCGAAATAGTATTAAGCTGGGTATTACAAAAAATCAATGGCCCTTACCAGATATCCCACACGAGTTAACACTGGACATGCAAGCTACTATAGTCCGCCAAGTGGGGAACGGGGAATAGTGAAGGTAAAATGAACAGTGGTTACTGTTGATCCCCTCTCCACATAGTAATAAGCGATTACAGCATGCGAGTTAGAGTTATTAAAAATTTAGTATTTTTTTTATTGGCATTCTTGGGCAGTGGCATGGCTTGGAGAGAAATTCTTCTGAACTTTTTATTTAGTGAGGAATGTGGAGTTGCAAATGGGTGTTGTGCGGGCGAGGAGAGAACCCTGGGAACGAGGTTGGTCTTGTGGCCAGGGGAATTCTTTTATGCCTACTAAATAGCATACACTAGTCTTCCTTTTTACAATATTATTGGAGTCTATATAATTCAGGACAATGCCTCTTACTGCAATATTATCACTTCACAAGTATGAGCTGCTTGCATTAAATATATTACATCAAAACTTTGTGGGTGTAAATGGTTGAAGTCCTTCGACTGTTATTTGAAACTAATTTTTTCACAATTGATAGATCATTTTTTACATGACAGAAGCACTCATGTAGAAAACGGATGCATCTGCGATACTCATACAGAATTTTGAAAAATAAACAAACGAAGAAAACAAGTTGGGCCATTTGCACCTCCTGCTCCCAGATGTCAGATTTTATCTCCCCAGACCCTCCCCAGGTCATCTTGCTCTTTCTTAAGGGAGATTCGACTATGGAGGAAATAGGTTAACAAGAGGCCAAACACTTGTTGAACATTTGTTGATGCTATTATAGAAATTAAGAGGGTAATTATTTCAGCACATGTTTCAAAGGCCACCCCAAACAGAGCCAATGGTGGAACCTCCACACTCGCCGGGGGGGGGGAGGGGTACTAGTTTTCAAGCAGTTTCTCTAATATAGGGTATATAAATCAGAGCGTTTGGGTCTAGAATAGGGTATCATTTTTCAGGAAACTGATCAGTTGGTTGAAGATTTTATCTAGACTAGGGATTGTGGTATAAAGTTTTGTTTTGGCTAGACTACTGTGCTAGTGACCTCAGTAGTTTCTGGAAAACAGCTACTCTAGGATAGGGGGGATTTAGGGAGTTTACTCTAGTATAGGGTAGCAAAATTCAGCTGAACTAGCTCTGGTATAGGTTAAGGGTCCCAGCGACACATCCCCACCCAGAAATTCCTAAAGTCACGGGGGGGCCCGGAACTGTATTGTTTCCCGGTTCCCTGACCGTTTTAAACATGCGATATTGCTCCAAAGCAGTATAGCTTCAAGACAAAGTATATAAAATGATAATCACCCAATTTCGTTTAAGAAAGAAATTACCCAGGAATTCGTTACAGAGTTTCGTTTTGTCCGCAACGTTTTGCCTGATTTGAAGGTGTTGTGTCTGACCTTGGTAAAAGCAATTCTCGGAAGAATTGTTTCATACTGTCCATGGATTTTTTTTCTTTCGGTGGCGGTTATATTTTAAACTGTTTAATCTAAAAATGGGTAGAAATTAATTATCAGGAATCCACTAATCGTACTACGACTGGGCGGAAACAAGATTTCTGACAAGACAATAAATCTAAAAGCGTGGCTGATGCTTTAACTCAATTCAGGTCACGTCTAGACACTGGATAAGTTCAATACGATAAGCCTGATAAGATCCAGGGGCTGTCAGCAGTCTCTTCTAATACCCTGCCTCATTAAATGGGTTGCAGGTCAGTACATTGAGGGTTTCACATGTTAATCAACACTTAAAAAGGAGTATAAACTAGACCAGGAAAATATCTCCTAACTTGGTGGTCTGAGAAAAATTCCATTTGGTTGAAATGTAGTTTACGGTATTTGTACTGATGAACGTACCGTTTTTTGCCCATAATTTTTGAACCTGAGCTAAAGGTTTCATTTTGTTTTCGCGGGATCTAATTTCACGTAATTTTTAGAAACTTGGCGGATTTTCCGACAATTCGTGAAAATTAGATCCCGTCGTAATGAAATTAACTCCCTCGAAAAAAGAAACTACAGCGAAACTTTACCCCTTTTAAACTTTCAACTTCACGTTGACTGACTGCGACCTACAAAGAGACTTGAAAATGGTAACTCAAAAAGGTCATTTAGTACAGAAAATTCCAAAACTCAGAGCAAAATTTGAGACGAAAAACAAAAACAATTTTTCGTGCGAATCGCTCGAAGTTTATCAGCTTTGTGAAGTGTCAGGTTGCGTAACACAAAAGTTGTTACGTATCCCGACAGATTGTAACTTGCCAGCAGGTCGAGTCCCTCGTCCCTATTCAGACTATTCTGAGTTTTTTTTGGTTTGATAGCAATGGCCTCCTTGACGCGGCGCTTGATGGTGTTATTTTCAACGGATAGTACTTTTATGTGTCGGTTGATGTTGTGACCTGCTGCCCGGCAGTGCTCGAAGACGGCTGAAGTATCGTGTAGTTATCCGAGCATTGTTCACACTGGATGTGATAAACGACCCCGCACGTCATTAATTTTTCTGTTCGATCCTTTACATTCGTTACTTGAGTTCGCAGTGTGTGAAAAAAATGTCGTACGAGGTCTTAAGACCTCTTAACGATAAACCTGGTAGATTTGATATCGACTTTTACAATACAAGGCCGGGGCTTTAACGGGTTTTTCCGCAAAGGAACTTACAACTATATCCGCGACACTCATTCTACCTCTGAAATATAATTTCGCGAAAACTTGTTCCTGCTAAACGCAAACATCAGTCGACGGTCATCTCCGAAATCAAACTAACACGATAATTCTGCAAAACACAACTGAATTTTGTGTTTTGGTGAATCATCTTTTTTCTGTCAATCCCATATATTATTTATTCCCTTCCGCCGGTTTCCGTAAAGTTCGTTATCTTTATCACATAAACACCTGATGAAGCGCGTTTTTGTGGGAGGTTTCAGACAGGATTAGACGGAAAGCGTAATTGGATAGCACCATATTAGTCTTATTATATTTTTTACTATATCTTTTCATTCCAGAAGACAAGAAATGCTATTTGTGAGTCCTGATATAAGCACAGGGATTATAACCGGCGCGGGGTTTATGACATTATAATCGAGTATAGAAAATGCTTAGAGGTGGTAGAGTTAAATTGCTGCATTTTCGTATACATTTGGCCGATAGATTCAGTGATCAGACCCTGTTGAAGAAAACTGCATCGCTCGTATGAAATATAAGGAAGTGTTAGTTAGGCATCTCGTGGACATGACCTTTTTTTTTTTTGCTAAAACTAAGGCCTTTTGTTCATTGCCTCTTTAGCTCCAACAAAGGATAGTTAGAACTTACCAACAAGGAAAATGGCTACAGCGGGTGACAGCATTGGACAGGCGCTTTCCTTCATCGCATCAGCCAATCAGGAGCTTAGAAAACAGCGTTCTGAGGAGGCTGTAACCCTGTTCTGCAAAGGATATGCCTTGGAGCCTGGCCTGGTCAAAGATCACCTGGTCACCTTGCCACGGAACCACTTACAGAGCGTAATTTACACACTGGAAGACTGGTGCGTGTGCTGTGGCGGAGACTCTGAGCAACTGCTATCGAGTTGTGAAATAACTTTGTCTGTTGAACAAATATGCGACTTAATTACGTCACCGGGTCTCCGCCCTGATAGTCGTGTGGCATGGTCCACGAAGCTGAGGTCACAAATGCGAAACAATAACTACCTTGAGGCGGTTAATACCTGTCTCCAAGCAGTGAAGGTATTCGCCGATCAAAACGATATCGTGTTTTTTTTAGTTGAACGCGCTGTTGCATATCTGTTTCTTAAAGAGAAGAGCTTTGCTGTGCAGGACTTGATAGCCGCGTGTGACAAGGACTGTGATGCTGCTTTAGCATGCATCAAGGAATCTGGAGCGAAACTACTTCCCGTCATTTTAGAAGCGCTTTACGAGGTCATCGCTAAGTTTGCAAAAAAGTCGGAAAGCCACAGTGTGGATGAGCGATTCTTGTTGATCAAGATTGACCGCATTGTTGTCGGTTTAAATCCCGAAGACACCAGCACTCTGGAAGACTGCGCTGGTCACATGATTAAACTTAATCAGTACAAGGAAGCTGTAGCTTTGCTGTCTGATGGAATAGATAGGTTGTCATGTTCTGGAAGAAGGGAAATCGAATCCGTGGAGTTGTTACTTCAAAGAGCGCAGTGTCATTTGGCTCTTCAAGAAACCGAGCTTGCTGTGAACGATTACCTTAGTGCGGCGGGCCTTGATGAAGACATGACGCGGATCACCATACTAGCATTACCAGGTGCTCAGCAGGATAACATTGCCTCGTTTGCAAAACAAACTGCATCAGAGCTGCTGTCTCATTTCCGTCTTAAGGCGAAACTGAACAGCGCATGCTCAGTTGACACGAGAAACACTGCTGAAAGTCTCCTCAGAGCAGCACTTATGTACCGGCTTCTGTATGTTATGGACAGAAATAACGTTGATGCGTTGATTAACGCTGCGGAGTGCCTGAAACTTCAAGACAAAGACGCGGAAGCCGTCAACACACTCAACCTGGTACTTTCACTGCGACCAACCTGCTCGAAAGCGTACTATACGCGCGCATATTGCCATATGAAAGCCGCTGAAATGGCAAGTGCGCTCGCAGATTTCAATACTACCTTAGATCTCCAGCCAAGCTTTGTGCAAGCGCTTTGTGGCCGTGCATTTGTTTGGCTCATGGGCGGACAATTGGAAAAATCTGCCAAGGACCTGAAAGATGCTAGTGGGATATCAATAGCTGCTACGGTGACTTGGATCACGGAATTATCAGAATACGGACAGCAAACGCTCAAAAATCAGCTGAAAGAGTACTTGATGACGACTTTAAAGAAACGCCAACAGGGAGAAAATTCGCGCGTGGATAGCTCTCTTATTCCTTTGGGTGATGTCTTAACCCGCGCGTTTTCTACGGATTTCGAGTGCCATCTTGTTTTCGTGGAAATTTTACTGGCTCTGTGTAAAATGGATGAGGCTCAAGCTATTCTTGTTCGTTTAATAAAACATAACCCCGATGATTACCTCGCTACCTTGCATCTTGCCGCTTTGAAAATGAGAAGAAACAAAACATCCGACGCGTTGGAAGATATTTTTAGTCTTCTGATGGCGATCGGCGAGGAGAAGCTAACGAGCTCCATGTTGAGGTTGACCGAGGAAGATCGCGCGCGCTTAACACGTGAAGCGCATTGCGAGGGAATTCAGAGGTTTAACGCGTGCTCCGAAAATCCCTCTGCCCAAGGATATTTCACCGTGGCCATCGCCGCCTCCCAAAACAAAGCCTGCGAATCTTACGTATGGCGCGCAAAATTGAACATTTTGAAGGGAGAGCTAGACACGGCCATAAAAGACTTAGATTATATACTCGCTATAAAGCCGAACTATGTTGAGGTATTGTGTCAGCGTGGACTCCTTTTCGCTCAGAAGAACAATTTGAAACAAAGTTACCAAGACCTGTTACAAGCATTGCTTCTCAATACTCAGGCGCTCAAAACTTTCATTCTATCACTTGCGGAGAATCGCAAACAACTACTTTTAGCAAGGCTTGAAGATTGTGCTCAGATGTTGTTTTCTCATTATCTATCACGGGGTTTTCGGTCGAAGTGCATTTTAAAGCTCTGCCAGTTGTTGGTTCAAGTGGGTGCTGACGTAGTCTCATACCACAGCATGTACGCTGACGGTTTGATCATCTTCGAAGATTATCAAAAAGCTGCCGAGGAGCTTGATGTCGCTGAACGACTCAGTCCCGGAGATGCCTCGGTGCTAAGCCGAAGAGGACTCGTCCATGTCAAACTGAATGAAATTGAAATTTCGGCGGGAAAGTTTCAGCGAGCAGCCGAGATCGATTCAGAAGCGGTAACGTTTGCACTTGCTACCTTGAACTCGGCACAGAAGGAAAGTCTCGTAAGAATCGCAATCGATAAAGCAAATGAACACACCCGCGTGAACAAAAACAAACAAGCCTTGGGCTATTTCACTCTCGCAGTAGCCGCCTCTGATGGTCATTGTAATACTGGTCAGCAGCAAGAAATCTTGCGTATGCGTTCTAAGTGCTTTGAACGTCTCCGGGATTATCAGCACGCTATTGCAGACATGACGAACGTAATCACATCCGGGACACCCGTAGTAGGCGATCTCGTGGCACGTGCAAATCTCCACCTACTCAATGACAATTTTAAAGGTGCATCTCTTGATTTTGTTGTTGCTATGGATACCCAGGAAGTGACAGCCATAACTTTGATGTCATCCTATCCGGGCAAAGATGCCGTCATTAAAGCGTTCCTTAAGGCCGCTACGGCTGATCTAAACTGCAAAAAGTTTTCCGATGGACTTACGATTTGCACTTACGGTTTGAGACTGGATCCTAACAATGTAGAGTTACGAAACCTAAAGCGCAAGTGTGAATTTGGAGTAAGCAACAAATGTTTCATTCAGTAAGTTTATTAAGCGAGTCAAATCTACATGAAGCCATCACATGCTTGATATTTTCGACTGAATTGTGCCGGCAAGAACGGTGACATTTTTTGTCAACCGTCATGGAAATATAATTTTGAATTCTCTTATATCTTGATTTGAAGTTGTCTAGTAAATAAATAAATCAGTATTATTTTTTAATTTTCTTTAATTTTCTGAGTATTTTTCTGATTTTATCACTTCCACCATATGGTGCGGAACACACAACAGAGCGAGGCTCCAATTTAAGTGTGTCCTTACAGGTAATCCACCCAGCCCAGGAGAGGATGGCCGCACCACCGGGATCTATGTCCCCTACTCTTTTCAAATAGTGGTGTGGGTTCTTTTACGTCCCACAAGAACCAGATAAGTGAAAGTGCTGTGAGACGGGACCTACGGTTTTTCGTCCTTATCCGAGAAGACTAGAAAGTGTAACCATTTGCAGATGTCATTGCAAAGGCAGCACTTTCTCCTCAGTTATTTTTAAGACCCTGAGTGTTGGTACGGCCGGGGTTTGAACCCGCGACTTCCCGCTCAGCAGACCGGCGCTCTCCCAACTGAGAGTAATCAGGCGGCAATTGTCTCAAATTTCACTCGCCTAATGGCTCGGGAAATTACGTATAACAATTTCGAAATATCAGTCGTGGTATTTATGCCAAATATCACTACAAATCATGCTATTACCTATACTAAAAAGCCCGTCATCTCCTACCACTGTTCACGCATGCGTGAAAACAAGCGCAAGAAAATGGTGCAGATTCCTTGCCTACTCACGTGTTCTTACGCTTGCACCGCTTTGAAAGATCTAATAAAAACTCATTACAGACACTCTCTAACGGACAGCTATAATTATGGCCACCTTGACAAAAACCCCGTTTGAACTTCCGTACATGGTCCACGTTTGCACGTCTCCCGTGGTAGCCATACCAGATAATTTCGTCCAATTTTACTGCTCATTTGCGCAACATTAGACAAAATTGATCCAAATATCTATGGTGGTGCATTTTAAGCCTGGTGAATACATAAGAAAGATGAAAGTTTGCGGCTTAATTAAAAAAAACGCATTTTGATTATGCCAACAAAATTATTGTCCTAAAAACTCTTTAGAGTCCCATGATAGAGGCGCAGTTTTGTGATTTAAAGTTTGCCAAGCATTGCTGGAACTCTGAGCCAAATCATAGAGTTATAATTTAGTGTCCTTCTCTCCTCCCATAAAAGGCGCTCTCCTGGAAATTCGCTTCTATCATGACAGACTACGCAAAGTTTCGGTTACCTCTCTGCAGTGACAGCTCGTGAACTGTTATATCTGCTCTGAATTCTTCAACATGGAACTTGAGGCTTTTGAAGGTGTCCCAGCAAAAACACGTGTTCCGAGATAGGATTTAAATATGTTAATTAAATTCCACGTGCCAACTCAAAGAGCAAATAAACAATGCATTCAAATATTTAGCAGTTTTCCCAGAGCAAAGCAGTGTTTTGTCCCGCACAATGAACGCTTGAAATTTGCGATCTTGATTCATCTCAAGTTGTTGTTCAATCACTACAGTTACGAAACAACGTAATGGACCGTCCAATACCAATATTGTTGCGCACGCGAAATAGTTTACTCCGAATTGCGAATGTGTCACACATTTCTCGGTTTCAGTCGTCTCATACATACTGATGAGTAGGCCTCCCGTTGGTATTTTCCGCATTTGTCCGGATGAGGGTGGAGTAAGTATTGCTAACTGGACCAGTCGACTTTCAACCAGTCTGAATTTCATCCGATTGCTTCAAGTCGTTTTCTCCTCTAAAGACTCGAAGTAATCGGATGAAATTCAGGCTACTTTCAGGCTCATTTGGAGCAGAAAGTAAAATCTTGAATCAGGCCATAGTTGTAAAATGACTTGACGCCATCGTGAGAGAGGCCTATTCGCCGCTGTTTTGAAACACGTTGGAAGTTGTTTAGAGTGTCTGGGAATAGCAAGAGGCGTTTCCAGTCCCTACTCATTTCTTTATGAAGCTTGTGGTAACTTAAACTGCTCGCGGAGGATGTTGGGAAGACTTCCCTTAAGGCAATGCGCTTTTAATAGTTTTCGCCTGAGCGCCCCGGAGAGCTTGCTCGCAGGCTATTTGAGCTTGAGGGCTATGAAAAATGGACATTAGAGTGCTTTTTATAGGCAAACCGTGCCCTATCATGGGAGCCAGCATAAGGATGGCGGAGTCATTGTAGCACACGATTTTTATTTCCTTGTTTGTGTCTGTGACTTGTACTTTGCGCGTTAATATTTACATGCACTCTTAGAAAAACATGTCTTAAAATGTAAATTACAAATGAGTCTAAATAAATAGTACCGTAGGACGTTAAATTCACAATTCAAATAAATTACAACCTAATCGACATACAAAGCATTGAAAACTGAAGAGAAATACAGATCGAACGAACTATCCTACGCTGAAAAAAAACTCTCTCAAAATATTTAGACTCCACCCGAACTAACGCTCAATGTTCACTCCTATGTGAAAGGTTACTTGAATAATCTAATAAAAGAACTTTCAGTGTACACTAAACTCGTGGTCTGCTAGAAATGGCAAAGATATTTTCCTGTTATAGTAGATCGAGGCCGAGTTATTCCCAAACCGTTTTTCGTGTTTGCTGTAAGGGGCGTTCGATTGATCGTATTCCGGGATAAGAATACAAGAAAATAAAAATCACTTGATTTGGCTTTCATTGCGTAGTAAAATCCTGAAATCTAGTGGAAATCAATAATTGAGGGTCCTCAAAAGGTTTCTCGGGATCCGGGATTCGCCTTATTTGAAGGCCGGGATTCGGGATTTTAAAGCAATATGGGGGCGAGACTTGATATTGAAAGTATGCACGGGATGCGGGATGCGGGATGCCAAAGATAAAAGTCGGGATTTCCTGCTTCGTTTTGAGGGTCCTCAGTAGATTTTTCGGGATGCGGAATTTGCCTTAATTGAAGGCCGGTATTCAGGAATAAAAAGCATATGGGGGCAAGATTTGGTATTGAAAGTATGCACGGGATGTCGGAAATAACCGTCGGGATGAAGGGATTGACCGAAATTTTGGGTTGGGATAACGGGATTGAAGAACCCTGTTGGGAACTCTCACAATTAGATGAATGTAGCATTTCATTGGTCCAAAATTTTCGGTTGAAGATATTTGTCACAAGTTCTTGGGTATTCGTATTCCGGAATATGATCAATCGAACTCACCCGTAATAGGAGAGTATAAGTTATCATGGTAACAAACCCGAATAACTCGGTCCAAAAGTTAGTTTTAGCAATTACCTCAACCCAAGTTAAAAAATATATATATATGGTCCTTTTAAATATTTACCTAATTCGTCTGTACGTTCGTCAAGATTATCTTCAATTCATTAGTACGACTTTTCAAAGACTTGTATAATAAAGATACATGGGTGTGAAAGCAAAAAAAAAAACAGCTTGTATATGTATCCACACGGTAATGCGTGATTATTAGCGTTCGAAATGGTGTTACGTAATCTCATACCCAGATCTCGGCTTCGCCAATAAGAGATCTGGGTAAGAGATTAGGTGTTACGACAAATTTAAATGTGGAAGAGACGCCTTTTAATGAACTGTGCCTCACAATATAATTATTACAACTTTTTAAATATTATATTATTATTTTATATTAATTTCCATGTTTGAAATTCTTCGAGTTAACATCAAGAGCTGTAAATAACCCTCGTTTGTATAGTTTTTTGTGCCTGTTAAAACGAGCTGAAGTATACCATAAGGCAAGTATTTACAGGAGTTTAGTTATGAAAAATTGACTTGAGAATATGATCACTCTCTTCAGTCGCTATTAAACACAGGGTACATTTTAGAAAAACTCATTCACTATTCATGAAGAAACTCCGTACCAAACTTGGTATCTTAAATCTGATAAGAGCAGGCTGAATTTTCTTCGCCAAAATAATTTAACAATCAGCGATTAGTTTAAGAATGAACAGATTAACGGTACAGTTTAATTACTGAGCCGTTTTATTTAGTTTTCGTATTTCTTTCTCGTGTTCTATTTCTCGTTTTATATTAAGTGAATTGAAATTTGGACCGTCTTAATAAATTAAATCAAAGTCTATATATACAACTCTCCTTTTCGGACACCCCGTTATTACGGACAGTTCTTCTTTGTCCCTGGAGAAAGCCCACACATTCTTTCTAAAAAAATTCAAACCGGTTAATACGAACACCCGCTAATCGGGACACTATCCATGGTCCCTTTCGGTGTCCGTATTAACGGGGTTTGAATGTACTTATGATCTGTGGCTGGCGCTTTCTCAGGGTTCTGTGTCTTTTTCAGTAGTATGCAAATTGAAATTTGGTCCTTTTATATATTTATTCCAACGGGTTAAAACTCATCATCAGAATCCAACATACTATCCTTATACTCATGATTGTCCAATACGGTGACCTGCATTCAGACAGGGTTAAAACTCATCGTCAGAATCCAGCAGGGTGTTAGTATCATTATCATACCTATATCCATGATTGTCCAATACAGTCACCTGCATTCCTGGCCTGATACTGTCCAGGTTATCCACCACGGTACTACGATATGACGTAACATTGTTCCCCGGTATTACGCTCTCTTCATTGTAAACACTCTCCTCGTTGAAATTCTTTAAATTCTGCGCGTTAGCGTAATGCTGATACGATCTGGAGAAGTTGTGTATCGCGTCGTCTACAATGTCTTTTGGGTTAATTGTTTGCCTAAGATTTCTCGAGATGCTCTTCAAAGCAATCCCTTGCCCGCACTCATCGAGTTTTCTCTGATGGCGGTAGATTGAAAAAGGAAAGGCGTATCTCAGAGCTATGGAAGCGAAAAACATTTCTATGCACACCACGAAATTCTGATAGCCTGCAGCGATTGTGCCGGCAGAGATGCCATGATAAGTACGGATAGCGCCTGCCTTTTCAAACACAGCTAGAAGAACACCTAAAGCAAATTTAAAGAAACAACAGAAAATGTTTTCCCCGAAGAAAAGTGCTACGGTCTCTATTTTAGTTCTCAACCATTTTTTGTTGTTTTTGTTTTTGGGAAGGGGAGGGGACTCAAGAAGCACAAGTATATCAGTTGTATACGTGAAAACACAATTGTTGAGACACCTCATGCAAATGCTTCCTTGCCCCTCGCACCAAACGGTATCCCCATTTTTTACAACTATGCGAAGGGGGATGAGATTCAGTCAAGAGTAGAGTTAAGTGTCCCAGCAATTTAAGATTAGCGTGCGTGGCCCTCGCGTTCTCGCGCAGCTAATTTTCCCCGATATTTTCAATGCCAGTCATGGAGCAAATGGAAAATTTGCGCAATTTTCACGGCTCGCCAAACGCGCACGCATGAGCCTCTAGCATTTGCGCGAGCTTGCTTGCGAGCGACCGAACGTTCTGTCTGTTGGGGAGACCATGGCCCAGTTGTTCGAACGCCGGTTAGCGCTAACCCGGGGGTTAATTTTAACACGGGTTTCTTTTTCTTTTTATCAAAAGCACTTTCTCGGATAATTTCCGCTATCCTTTTTAGAGAATCCAATCATCAAATAGTAGGCCAAGAGAATTAAACTGAATTAGCTTTTTAAGCTCTCATGATTCATGCATAACAATGTCGGTCAGACACGGATTTTTGCTCTCCGTAATTTGTCTTGTATACTCCGCAACTTGCCGTCCTAATGTGTTCGAACTCAACGAGCAGTTTACTAAAGGTAATATCTCTCAATTGGCAGTCACCAAAATTGATTTAAATGGTTATGAAGGAGACGTTTGGACGTTTCAAGTCCGGGATTGGAAAGATTTCGTAATGGAGTTCCGTATTTGCATACGAGAGTGGAAGGTCGTCCCAAGAGTACTCCGCAATGAAGAGCTCTTGGAATTAACGCCTGCAGTCAATGGGTCTTTATTCAAGAGTGCGTGGAATTTCTTGGTGTTGGAGCGTAACCATCAAAACATCTCCTTTGTTCTTTTTCGCGCCTGTCATGGAACAGTAGATCCTGGTCTATTCANAGTAATGTGAAAAAAGCTTCCACGCTGTCCTCCTTCAAATATAACATCAGAAAAGTGGATCTTAGCATGCTATTAGATGACAATAACTGCTCTAACTGCTCTCTTTGCACTTCTTAATCTTTTATTTCTTTTTTTTTTTTTCTATTTATAAGTAATGGACACATTTGTACATATTGTATATAGTCCTCTCGAATTTCTCACTTGCTTATACTGTACATAGTTTTTCTTAATTTTTAATTAATTTATTAATTGATTTATTTTTTTAAATTTATTTTAGTGTCCCCACTTAGTGGTTATATACCGCTATTACAGTTTGACACTTTAATAAAGGTATCATCATCATCATCATCATATGCGAGTTCAAATTTTGCACTAACCCTGGATTACCTTTACCCGGCTACTTCGAACAATCCGGCCCAGGATTATATAAATCCAAGAACTATAATTCAACGGAAACATTGTCACTGGGTAATCTCTTCTTACCTTGCCAGAAGGAAAGAAAAATAACAGACTTGATGGTGAAAAACTTTAAAACAGGATAGTAAGGACTAAGAAGATCTCTTGTAGCTTGATAAAACAGAAACAGCGCATACAGCGCCAGTGAGACTGTAATGTTATAAACAATTGTAATGTATAGATAACCACGATCAGCCCTGAAACAAAAAAGAAAAAGAAGCTTGTTACATTGCTTATATGAGCCTTAGTCTGTATGGATATATATGATGCTAAGCTATTGCCTATAGGCCCCAGTTGTTCAATAGGTGTAAAACGCTACCCAGTTACCCAGTAGATAAATCTCTGTCCGGTAGATAACGAAATTGGTTTCCCTAATACTTATCCACTGGATAGTGATTTATCTGGTGGGTATTGCTAAGCAATGATTAAACAACTGGTGCCAGATCTGACGCAAATTTTTTCACACTTAGAAATTCATTTCTCAATTATAAATTTTGTGGGTCAAAATGAAATTTTAGGTTAAAATGGTTTCAACCTAGTCTGATTTTTATAGGGTTAGGAAACAAAGAAAACTGACATTCAAACTAGGTTGAAACCATTTTGTCCCAAGTTTCATCTCCCCCCCCCACATATTAGGGGAAGAAAGTTAATAAGCCCCCCCCCCCTCCCCTCCCCTAATCATTCTTCAGTAATAAATGATAGACTGTATTGATCAATCACAACTGTAAAACTTTGTGTGTACTGATCCGGGATGGTTTATTTACCAACTGGAAGTTCGGATTTGATTCTGATCCTCGGTTTCATGACCTCCAACTTCTTATACTTGAGCTCCCTCCAACTTCCACTTTGTATTCTAGTTCTTTATGGAGAACTGATACCATCGTCGTGTCTAAATTAAATAAGCCCCCCCCCATCCCCCACTCTAATAAGCCAGCTGCCTCTATTAAGTTCCTCCTCAACTGGGCTAGAAATAAATAAGGCCCCCAGGGGGCTTAATAGAAGATTTACAGTAATAAAGAAGGACGTGTGAATACCTCCAGTCTCCATCTGAGTAATAGCCTAATGGCTGAAGGATAAGAGTAATGACTGCCATAACTGGTTTGATTACACAGTACTGAAGAGTCGCCTGCAAATAAATCATAAACTCAATAATCAATATTTGATCACCATCAAGTTAACACAAGACATTAAAGAAGGAAATACAGTGGAACATCAACATAACAAAGGGCCAAGGGACTGGAAAAATTTGTTTGCTGTTCGCTATAATGAGGTTTTGTCATATCGTGGTTCTTTTGCAAATATTTTACCATAATAAAGTCTATCTGGGGTAAAGAAAATTGTTTGTTATACAGAGGACTTCATAATATAGAGGTTCATTATATCCAGGGTCCACTGTAACTGACATTGATTAAGTCACCATCAACAATAATTATTTTATTGTACTGTATAATATTATATAATTAATTATAATATAGTTATTATACTGGATCAGGGCTGCCATAGTACAGAGTGGCAAAATATAATGGAATGAATTGGGAAATCAGTAAATAAGAAATCACCCCACGTAAGGTAATAAAAACAGACTTGGATACTTGACTCTACGCGGTGGATTCCCAATTCTTTGCCAGTGGAACTTGGATTCTGAATCCCAATCCTTAGTGGGATTCCGGATTCCTGGAGTTGGATTACGGATTCCAAAGCCCAGGATTCCAGATTCCTCAAGCAAAAGATTCCTGGATTCTGTATTCCACAAGCAAAGATTTCCCAGATTTATTTCCCGAATCTGGAAATCTTGGGTTTGAATGTACCGAGGGGGAGGGCATCGGGATTTATTGTGAGGCGGGGGGTAGGAAGGTGAGAAAAACAGAGGGAATTTCTATTTCTCCTGCCTTCTCCCAAACCATCCTCTGCTACCTAAATAGATTTGAGACCAATCAAATCTAGACACAGTACATTTGAAACCAAGATGGCACTGTAAGGGTTAACAGTGGGTGCTTGATCCCGAGGACTGTGAACGGTCTAGAATCTTGGATAACATAACCTAAATTTTCAAGTTAGTTGAAGTTCTCACCTGTTTACAAAATCTGAGGAAAACTATTGTGTACTGGCAGCCAGTAAGACAGCATGTACACCACAACCAACTAGCTCTGAAATATTATCAATGATGTGGATATATTAGCTACATATTTAATAATAATATTGAAAACAACATTTCTACTTAACTTAACACAAATGTACTAACAACAATTAACTGTCATTCAATTACCAGTATACTATTGTTATGGTAGACAATGAAATATTCCATGAGTGGCTAGTTTTTTCTTAGTATAGGTGAGTGTGTGTGTAAAGAAAAATATTGTATCTATCTGGTTCCCCACTTTCTTGCGTTTAACCCATTCGCTCCTGGAGATTTTGCCGAAAAACGCGTTTTGAAGCTAGTCGAGTGGTTTTCTGGGCACTGTCGTGCTATAAAGAGCTAAAACTTACCACAAACCACTTTACAGGTCGTACACTTCGCGGCCTTCTGATCCAGATGCAAACTATCAGCTTGCGAAGTTAGGGCATGCGCAGAAAGCAAAATTTCGACATAGTTGTTGGGTTTAAAAGTGACACAGCAGTCTTGACTTTTACTTTTCGCTTTCTCTCCTCCCCTCTTTTTTCGCTTTTTTTGCCTCATTTTTTTTTTCTCTTGCTGGGCATTTAGTAGGCTTCATTTTGGTGGGAATACTTTTTAGGAAAGCTTTTAGGATCTTAGGATTAGGTGAAAGGAAAGGTAGGTGGGCAATGGAACAAGATTTTCATGGAGATTTTCAGGTCAATGTTACATGGTTTTTTGCCTCTTTCTCCGGTTTCCTTGACTGAATTGTGCTCATTCTGGTATGGTTTGAAAGATCTCTTCACTCTGCACAAGTTAGCGGACAAAGCTGTCCTTGACCGTTAAAACTGATGACGTCACAAAGGGTAGAAAGGACGTGGATCCGCACGGGCGGTTACAGGCGGTTCAGGGGCGAATGGGTTAAGTTTGATGAGGAACTTTTCACTAAAAAATGCAACTAAAATTACTTTTTTATTGAAAACTCTCTTGACAATAACAGAATTTTACTGACAGAGCTTTGCCATTAATATATTTTCTTGTTCCATACACAATCTGAAATATCTAATAGTGTTAAAGTTAATAGTACTGTTAAGACTTACTTGATTGGTCTTCCTCGTATTTCTGATAAGATTGCCATTTCACCACCCAAATATTCATAACACAGACTCAAAAAGTTGTAAATGACAAATGCTGAAACAAAAGGGAAATGTGCCCTGTTCTTGAAGTTCACAAGTAAAAGCTGATAATGTTTTAAAAACTGTATGTTAAAACTAGCCAAAAAAAACTTTTGATGTGCATGATAATTAATTGCACCATTAGTATCTGCTTTATTCATTCATTGTAATAAAAATAATGTAGAAAACTGATCACTTTGTCAGATCAACTTGAATAACGGCTTTCAATCCATATGAATTAGTAATGGTAACAGGACTGAGTGGAGTCCAATTCGGTCTGTAATCATACGAGTGATTAACAAAATCGGACGACCGCGTAGCGGGAGTCCGATTTGTTTAATCACGAGTATGATTACAGACTGAATTGGACGACACGAAGTTCTGTTACCAATTAATCATAACTTTAACAAAATTTGTGATATATAAGGCCCTTTTTTGACACCAGAACAGAAGAAATCCAATTTTTTTTTGCTAGTCAAAAAGCCATTTAAGCCCGCGCGTGATGGTGCGTACTGTCCAATTACTTAGGCATGACGCGTACTGTCCTATTAAATTGTCCAATTAAGGCTGAAATCAGGGCAGTTGATAGCCAATCAGATTTGAGAATTTTGTTATAGTTATGATTAGTAATTTAACCAATTCGTCTTACAGGCCCTGGTTGCTCAAACACTGGATAGTGCTTATATCATCCGGATAAATCACCATCCAGGGGATAAGTATTAAGAGAACCAATTATTGCGCTATCCAGAGGATATTGATTTTTAGTAAAATCCAACTAGTGGTCTATTTTCAATGCGGTGTCTGATTGGTTGAGCTACTACTAGGCTATATGTTATAGCCCCCTAGTAGCAAAAAGCACAGGCTTTTTGGCGGTAAAAAAGGATTAAAGTCTAGCTTTTAACTAGCTAAAAAATTTTTTTTCCTGATATTTTTGACCAACTAGTAGGCTTTGAAGGCCTTCTGCCTTCGGCCTCGTGGGCTATTGACTCAGATCCCATTTGGGCTCGAGGAATAATTGTTAAATACATTGGAAAGCGTTATCCACCTTTTGAACAACCGCGATCAGCACTTCTCTTCTACAATTTTAAATCCCCAAAACTCCTTTACTTGCCCATCAGACAAGTTAAGAAGAGAACTCACTTTGGCCCGATCGCGAAATTCACTAGACCTGGGATATTGGACATGACGTTCTTTGCATGCTGGTGCCTTGCAAAATACAATAATTATTTTTACGGCTATCAATCTAAACATACCTTCATAGCAGTCCCTAATGCTGTCAAAGTAGACATAGTAGGATTGTTCAAAGAAAAGCAGACTCAACCAGGAATCAAATGCGTAGATAGGAACAATGAAAAGAATTCGAACAATCCATCTCTGCTCACTAGGATTTGTGTAATACTTTAAATGCTGGTAGATCTGCCAGTAAAAGAGATTGAAGCACTGGTTTAAAAGAAGTCTAACGGAGCTTTCCATCCATCCAAACTGACCAGCCAGACCCTTCCCGTCAAAAATGAGAATTTCACTTTTAATCAAAACTACCAGCCAGACCAGTCAAATCCTAAATAGTGTGCAGGAAGGAGATTGTTTTTCAGCAAAAACCCTTGGAAAAAGCTGATTTCATTATCAAAATTACTGGTCCGGCCATGGTGCGGCCGACCAGTTCTGACAAATGGAAAGCGCACTAAGACAGCGTTTCATCAAGATGATTTGGATCAGGATCAGGAAAAGGAGATTTGATCAATCCCATCATAGCACATCCAAATTTAGAACCAATGAATCCAGTGCTGGAAATAATTTTTTCTACTTGAAAGGACTGTGTCCTTTCAAACCTTCATTTTGAAGGCTTTTTCTGGAGGAAAAGTGCCCAGGACACTGGTAGTTTTGACAATGGCAATTCAGTTCAGAAAGAAGAAGTGAACCAAAGCGGTGATATTTATTTCATTGAAAATATTCCCAAAACCAGTGAAAATGCTGCCCATATTTTACAATGTGAATTTTTCTTAAAAGCACCTCTGTAGTATTCAACTGAAAGAATATCTTGTTGTTTATGGTTCACAGCTGGCTTCACACATAGGCAGTCATTATTTGCACCATTGTGAAGATATTTTCTTTCATCTCTCTTAATTCTTGACTAAATTTACTTTCGAACAATGCCTTTTATTCTGGTTGTTGTTCTAACTGGCAAGAAATCATGCAGAAAGTTTCCCTGTTTGTCTTACAAAGCTTTCTTTATCTTTCAGATCGATGAAATAAGCAGCCATTTTAGTTCCAAAGCATGTGCTTTCATTTGCGTCAATTAGATTTCCATATATGGAAAGTAGACCCCAGTAATTCCCTAACAAAGAGAGCTGCTTCGTTTCCCCAGACAGAGAGACGAATATGATACGTGGACGTTTTCGAGTTTCCTGCAAATAGAGTCTTTCAATGGAATGAAGTTTACTTTTATCATAGGGCTCTACCTTTTAATGTTTTTGAAATCAACTCAGGGATGTAAAAAACCTTCTAAGACAAGAGCTAAGTCAGTTAAGTGCTCGGACATTATGTCCGAACATATTGCAAAATTAGTCGGACATTTACAGCATTTTGGTCGGACAATGTCCAATGTCCGACAGTAATTTCTACCACTGGAATCCAATCTCGGAAAGGATTCATTGGTTAATTTGAGGTACCATGATCTGAGTGCAGATCTCAGATAACTGATCCTGATCCAGAACATCGCAAAGGAATGCACCCTAAAATTCACATAAGCTGGTTTTTGAGTCAGTAATGGACACAAATATTATTTTTATTTGCACCAAAAGGAAGCAGCCAGTCCTGCTTCTTACTAAGTTCACGTCACATTCAAAACATAATTTTTCAAATTGTTTGAAATATATAAAAACAATATTTCACATAAACATCAAAGATGAGTCAATACAACTCAATTTATATGCAGTCAAAGTTATTAAACTATATTGTTATATTCGTAGACTTTCACTCAAATAAACAGGGACTGCCATTGGTTGATTCTTGGTCACGTGGCCTTGACTAAAATCAAGTGTATCCCGACTGTGACACATTAAGCAATGTACCTCGCTCGGGTTACGTTACAGCACGTGATCAAAGTATGGTGGAAAGTGGCGTGACAGAAGGCGAGAAAAACACTGCCAGCTTTCTTTTTCATGAATGAACACAACAACACAAACACAAAGCCTCAAGCTAAAAAGCAACAATTTTTAAAGTTATCCCGGAAGTTCCCAGAAGAAAAACCAAAGCAATTGGAGGAAAAAGATGCAAATAATATAAGGAAAGTACTTTGTAAATCATTCATTCAGCTGTTTTGAGAATTAAATTTGTGCGGTTATAAATACTGAGTCAATTGTTTTGGTTCGCTCCGGTTATTCTTTTGTTGCTGTTAAAGTGAAAGTCTAGAAATATAACAAAACACTTAATGTCAGATCCCTCTGGAAACCAGTCCTGATGTTTCCCGAGGCGAAGTCGAGGGAAACATCAGGACTCGAGGGAAAACAAAACTAACTGTTTCCCTCAGGATCTGACATTAAGTGTATAATATTATATTAAAATATGCACCTCCATCTCATTCCACTACCAGAATTGATTTGTTATTTCGTGAATGACAAATGAAATAATTTCTTCTTTTTTACTCAGGGAAATGTGCTTCAATCGAGAGAAGACACAATCTAATATTAACACTTATATCAAATGAATATAAGCTTGAGCTGAGTTAAAATAACATGTATATGTCACAAGTTTTAGGCTCTCGTGTGTCCTGGGACAGAACTGTGACATGAAATAACGTGAAACAGTAAAATACGCGTTTCATAGTATATATTTAACAAACTAAAGCTTTAAAGCTCAAGGGACTTGATAACTTAAAAGTTTAGCTACAAGAGAAGCCTACAGTACATAACTGTACACTTGATTTGGGGTAAACAAAAACACTACCTTGTGAAACCAAAACTTGTACGATTTCTCACCTGATGGCCTGTTATGAACAACGATAACCAAACAAAGATCCCAGAAATACCACGTGCAGCGGCAGTTTGAAAAAAAATCCGTTCATCTGCTGATACTGGCGTAATTTCGGTTGATGTTGGTGCTGGGAAAGTTGACGTATAATTTGGTCTACTTGTCGAATTTGACAACAAAGACATGGATACACGAAAACAAAAAGAGTTCAAACAAACTCTTGCTGAAGCCTTTCTTCTAGCTTTATGTCACCTGAATCAGGGAAAACTTCTATAATTGCCGTGGTTATTTTCGAAGTGGGCCTTTTCCGCTACAAAACTTCAACTGATCGCAGCCATGCATGTTGACTCTGTTTCTAAAAATAGCTACTGTGGTGTAACTGTGGTAGGGTGTTACCGCTGGCCAACTCTGAACAGGTGCGTATCGGTGCGAAGAAGAATCAGCTAAGCAGGGGGGGCTGGCAACGGCCTTTGATCTTGCCGCTTTTCGGCTTTCCATGATCGCCCCAGTTAAGAAATCTGTCAATCATTCGAGAACTGTAGCGAGCATGCGCGAAACGGGCTGAGAACAACATCAAGAAGTTCGTCTTCGCAGCGATTCGACAGTGTGAAGTGAATTCGCTTTTGGTTCTGTTGGTCATTGCTTTCTTTGGTGTAACCGATTTTTCCCGCAGTAATGTGGAGCTTACGTTTTCCTTTCTTCTGATCTTGTGTTTGTCATTACAAGCGGTTTACTACGCTAAGAACGAGACCAGTGAACGGTCATTGTACATTTTCCTCGATGCCCGACCTTTTGGCTCACAACAGGCTTTCAAGCTGTGTTTCTGTTTGGAAGACCCACAAGACTAAAAGAAGGGCAAACCCTCCAATGCGTATGTAGAAGAGTTTATATTTTCAAGTGAAAGGCCGAAAATTAATCCTTCGTGATATTAAAAAAAGCGCGGTGGCCGTGGTCAAGTAGAAGAGTTGTCAGAGTTGTTTACGGTTTTATTACACCTTTAAGACGAAAAGAAATGATGATTGAGA